AGGTCGTTTTGCGTTTGTTTTTCATAGTTCCTTCCTCTTTGTCTAAGTCTTTATCACGACAATTGATAAATGATAAAAATAATCGGTGATGTGATAAGATCGAAGACGATCTACGACAAGCGACAGTTTGCGCGGTCCCAGTTGATCGATACCGTAGATCTTGAGCCTATGCAACTGAACCGAATTATAATCGCATTAGTTTCTACGCGAAGCACGTTTCAGAAATCCAGGAGCTGTCACAATAACCAGGTGGTAACTGAATGCGTGAATAACAGTGATGGATAATGGCGGCAGCGGATGAAAGCACAGAAACTTCGGATCCACCGACAGTCCAAACAAGCTCTTGGTCAAAAGAAGAAAGGATAAAAAATAAACAATTGCGACATGCTGGGTTAGAGTACATTTCACGATCAGGGCGAACAGTAGCTGCTAAAAAGCAACCAGGTAAATCATTTGAATGAGGAATCACAAACCGCACTACCTCATTTATTTTGTACACATTTCTATTAGTGCTAAAATGAATATAATTTTTCTGCGTACTCACTTGCCCAGCGTCTAAAATAGAGGAACACATTTTGAAGCAATTACATCTCCATCATTAGCCATTCGCAAACTCAGAAAAATAGAATTCAATTTATTGGTTGACTTGTCTAGTCTTCTGAGAAATTTTTCAGTGGCCTTGCTTCTTCAGAGCAATGAATTCCAGAATCCAGTCACATCTTCTGTCTAAAATTTTGTCCAAAGAACCATGTAAAACTGTTATCTTTTCGTGGTGCAATTCCTGCCTCTCTGTCTACGGTTATGAAGGTTATCTTTCAAATAACAATGGAAATCACTGGATGCATCCAAGAAAAATACTAAAGTGGATGCGGACGGTTAAATCAGCAGCTTAGATTAGCTAGAATATCATCATTCTATTGTTGGGTCTAAGCAAGAGAAGGCCATTAACATGGTATCACTTATATACACCCATGAACTGTTTATGTGGTGCGCATGGATTCTGGAACTGTGTGTCTCTGCTTGCGGTGCTGCAGGTTCCCTGACTGATCTTACCTTAGTGAAAGATTTGTAATTATTATAATTGCAAAAAATTTGTGTGATATTTCATAAATCTCTCATAACTTGAGGTGGAGGCAGAAATTAGGAACAACTGCAAAATAAATACTTCCTTTCATACTTTCGTATCTTTGCTAGATTCCTTACCAAGATGTTTGAGGCTTCCTCTCATCTCAAAGGATTCGAAAAGCAGCTGAGATCAAAGGTCCAACCATTTTTTAATGGATTGGACCAAATTGAGCAGAAAGGAAACAAGCTGCATTTAAGGGGAAAGTGAGATAAGACTTAATGATGAGATACGAAAGATTTTTGAAGTTTAAGTATTGAAAGTCAGAAATTATGAATGGATTGATTGCATATCAAATTGTTCTCCTTCAAACTGCAAATTTTGATCTACTTAGCATGCCCTTCAACCACAGCACGTACTTATCATTAAAAAACGCACTTTATTTCAGATGTAATCTGCAACTGTCCGCAACAATGCAGCACAAAGGTAACGAAGGAGATTCGAGAACGGCTGTTTGCTGATTTCTATGCTTTAGGAGATGCTAACTCACAAAATAACTATCTACGCAAGCTGATAGAAATACGCTCAGTTAACGAACGACTTTTCAATGAGGAAAGAAAGGAGAGCGGTCGACTTCAGAGGAGAATTACATGTAAATACAGAGTGCCCTTGAAACTATCTCCGAGAGACAAAACTCTGACACCGATCACTGATATTAATGAATCACAGAATGACATTTCGGTAGGAGAAACAGGTAAAATAAATTGATTTTAAGCTTCATTATCAACATGAAAAATCTGGAAAATAACTAATATCAGCTTCAAATTTTAAGAACTATCATTTCCCATTGATGTATCTACCTACTTTGATTTTTTTCTTTCTCCCAGAATTTTTCATCAGATTTTGATCCAGTCATCTTGATTATAATCCCAGAATTGGTTTTACTTAAATGAGTTTTTCAACTTCAAAAATTAGACGTAGTCAAAGTATCTGATGATCTTTGTTAAAAAATTAAGTAATGTTAATTTATTTCTTTTTTTCTGTATTGTTTCACTTAGAAACCTGCTTGCCACATGGAGATAGTGATAATGACAAAGATGATTCGAAGGTTGATGAGGCGGTGGATAGGAGAGATTCTAATGATAGAGCAAAAATCACAACGGAAGATCTCAGCTTGTTAAATCCTAGCAATGAATCAATGGACAACACCAATGAAACAAGTGACTCCAAGGAGAATGAACAACATCACAATAAAAATCTAACAGAGGGTAAAGAATCATGTAAAGAAGATATTGGTGATAAAATCGAGGCAGGAAAAATTCAAGGAGTTATTACTGCTGGGGGAAAACCACTAACTGAGCAAAAATTGGATGCTGTTGATGAGAATAAAAGTACTGAGGTGAAGTTGGAAACCTCCATTCCATCTTCTGAAATAGACAAAAAATCAGACAACCCGTCTACATTGAACTTGACAAACAACGGTGATCATGCAGTAAATACAACTCCAAAACCAGAGGAGCACAAAGACACCGTAGATATATGTCAAAAAGCATTTATGAACATTTTCGCTATCACAGAGAAACGGGTTAGGCTCCAGCGAGAGAGGATAATTGATGAACTGCGCTTCATGGCGGAGAAGCGTAAGGCAGAGCAAGAGGAAATGGAAAACTCAATCAATGTTGCCAGAGAACTGGCAGCAGGTTGCCGACCTTTGCTCCATTTTATGGACAAATCCAATCAGTCAAACCGAATACCTTCACTACCTAACAAGCTGCTGATGGCAATTGATAATGATCTCACTTTGGTAAATAACTTTTTCCGTAACCAATTGTGGAAGCCGGAGAATTTTAACAAGAGATACAAATGTGATGATTCACAATTGGAACATGACATTTTAGACTAGGCCGAAGAATTGTTACCATAGCTGGGACTATGTTCCACTATAAATAATTAGATCCAACTTTCATCCTTTAAATTGTTGACAGTTTAAAAATTATTTAAGTACTGATGCTTTTCAGAAGCGCATCTCACTTTGATTATTGCAAAATCCTTAAAGAATTTTTTTCCTTTCTAATCTTTCAATTTTTATCTAATTAGTAGTGTAGTTGTAAATCTCTCAAGTTTCAAACAAGCATTTCTTGCTCATCATTCCTCCTAAATTTCTTGATGATAGACTCTCATAAAATCCAAAAGTAAGCACTCTGTTTAAAACCTTGACCAAGTATATTTTTGAACCTGATTCCGGACAACCAAGATGAGATTTATTTTTTTTTTTTTTTTAATTCGAGAAGAAAATAAAAGGGTAAATTTCTCTAAAGTTCCTGATGGCGTATTACTTGCAACTTTTAATGGTGATAGCAGGTCTTGGTAAGTAATTGTCAAGGTAGATATTTGTAGTTTTTCGTTTTGATTCCATTTGAATTTTACCATATAAGATATTGCTCAAAAGACAAAGCTTATTTTTGTACGTAATTTTTTTACTCAAATCAGAGTTCAATAGAAAGATAATTGACTTTTTTAATTGTGTTCATTAATTTATAAACATAATAGTAACTATTAAAGGAGACAGTAAAAATAATTACAACATACAAGTGTACGTATTCTGTGTTAAGTTGGTTATTTCTCTTTTATAAAAATAATGTAAGTCCGAATTTGAAAACCTTTTCCCTATCATAATTTCTGACAAAAGTTTGTGGTGGATTTACTGAGTTCGTGCATTTATTATTATAGTTTACCGAAAATAATTTACTATGTGTGATACATGTTCCATCACTTTTTCCTTGTTTGAATGTTACAAATTTCTTAAAAAATTCTAAATTACATTTTTCTGCCGTTTAAACAGGGAAATTTTTCAGAAATAATTCTGAATTGGAACAATATGTCTCCTCAATTTCTGACTCCTGATACACATGAATGTTGAAATCCCAAAGCTTAAAAATAGTTATCACTTAAAGAACTGTTTCAAATAGTTTTATTGTAACATTGTCTGTAATCGTACCTGACATAGTATGGAATGATCTCAGTCTTAACATTCCTAGACAAGTGTACCTTAGAAATTATCAATATCTGAAAGTAGGAAAAAACTTATGTGGAGCCTCATAGATAAATAGGTTGTAAGTAGGGATTATGAGACCTCAAAAATCTAAGAAAACAAATCTCAAATGTTAACATTACCCCTTTTACTTTTGGCGACTTTTTTTTTTTTTACTCAACAAACCACGATATGCCTTAGGAGTTCAGCCTTACTTGACTCAGTTTACTGAAGGTGTCATTCTATTTCATTCGTTTATTCTCTTGAACTTGACTCCTTCGTTAACACTTCAACCTGAATATAATTCTGTAACCCACCAATCTGATATTTCTGTTCCTTTCAATACAGTGATGTTAAGATGTAAACTATTTATTTTTGTAACTTTGAAAGCACCATTAAAGCCTTAAAGCATTATTTTTAGTTTAATTATTGGTAACTCCCTCCAGTCATTAGTTCAGACTGTTAATAAGTAAATGAAATCAGTTACGGACATACCAGGGTATGTAATTATGTATATTGCTTCCATTTTAATTTGGGTAGGTAATAATAATCTTTATCAATTTTTTTAAAAAATTTGATCCATGCGCAGTATATATATCAAGGGTCAAAGTGTGAAACTACATTTCTCCGTTTGCAACGTTGCAGACTTCCAATCAGTCTTTATTTTGTCTTTGGAAAACTAGTCAACATAGTTTTTTTTACAACTTTCATGAATTTTCTTCTCTGTTAGTAGAATATTCTGTGAAAATTTAAGCTAGGCACAAAATTGGTTAGTTTCACTTCGAAAAAATTTAAAAGGAGCGGAAATTTTGCACCATCGCAATGAAGAAACATACTTAATGTCTGACTTCGACTAGGTATTGATATGTGACTCAAAAGTATTACATCCGATTTCGAAGTAAAATTTTTCTAAAATACCTAGAAGCAAAAGTACAGCAGAAAAAGTTTCATTGACCAATTATTGATATCCAATTAGGTAAATATGAACCTCTTCCAATGCACAATTGTCTTGACTTTTTAGACACTTTATTTCAGACTTAGATCAAATATTTCGAAGATAAGTATCTAAAATCTGATTAAAAATCATTCAAAACAAATACATCATTTCTGTAGACTGGGGCGCTCATCACTGTATCCAATGATCCTAACACGTAATTAATAACTGTCAAAAATTTACTAATTGAAAATCAAGTGCGGCAGTTTACAGGATATTGACCTTCTACATTTTTCTTGACTGGTTCATAACTTGCAAATCAGGATTCTCTTCAAAAGATCCTGGATGGAAAACCAAGGTATTAGGGGTGAGCTAAATTTTGCAAGATGTTCTTCACAATCTAGGCAAGATGAGCTCTTGAAATCAAACTTTCGATGTGTCAAATTCAAGAAAAGCTGGGATATAAGGTGAATTTTCCTGTGTTCCTTTAACAAGACTTAACCTCACTGAAAGATGGGATACCTTTATGACATATTTTGATCCAAAGTGGTTGAGCTGACAAATGCTAAGCATCTGTCTTATGATACTGCAGGTCGATTATTGAAAGTTTAAGGCAGCCCCATTAGATTTCAAAATGCAATTCATTGCATAGTTGTGATGGGGCTATCGCTTGTCTTGCATGCCAATATAGTTTCAATACTTGGGTTGCTGGCTAGCACGCAGCAAGGAAAGAGGGCATCTCTTCCATCATCAACCTTCCTGCTAGATAATGCGTGTCGTAATGCTGAGAAGTTCACTTTTCTCAGGGCTTTCCTAAAATTGACTGATATAAAATTTGATTTGTAAAGCTCGCAGTGCTCAGAGGGTCGTAAGGAACATCTTTTAAAATTATGACAAAATTAGGCTGGCAATGAGTTTCTTAGTTTTCCATCCAGAATCTTTCGTACGAAGAGTTATGCCATGAAACAGCTAAAAAAAACTTCTGATACCTAGCCTGACAAAGTGACGCTCAAACTGCCGGTGACTACCCCGTGACTCGCAGAGTCACTGTCTTTGAGAACAATCATTGCTGGTTAGCGACATTCTGGTGAGAGTCTTTGCACAGTGCAAGGACCTCTGACAATGAGCCTCTCTGCAGCTGCTACTGAGAGGCTAGAAGGTGCCCTGCGCGGAGTCTCAATATATTTTATCAGCACTAAAAAAGTTAACCAAGCACAGTAACGGATCGTAAAATGATGATACCAAAAGTTGAAATGACTCACCCGCTCTAGTTTTTGAAAATATTCTCGCAAGAATATTATTGGATTCTCTGGTTTGTTGGTGCAAAGTTGAATGATACAATCCTTCAGGAGTTGGTGAATACTGTGCTCCTCAAGATAGGCCTCACATTCCAAAAGACTTTGATCTTCATCCAGGTTTTCAGCCATGGCAAATGAACTCTAATAATCACTAGCTAAATAGTCCACTAACATTGAAATTCCTCGATTCCAATGATAACAATAATTGTAAGAAACTTAGATGCAAAAGATACTGAGGACTCCACACACTAATCTGAATACAATTAGAAAAAGGTTGAATGAACCTGTCCTACATTCCACGGAAGTTTACAAAACACAACACAATTGTTAAAATCATTCAAACTCACGAAAATTATTATGGTAAGAGAAAAATTAGCGATTTAATAACGTAGAACTTAAGTGATTAATTTGTTATCAGTGATTAGAACAACAAAATGAGGCCAAGATGAATAACAAGGAGGGAGCATGGCCGCCATATTTATGACGAAATCGAGGCAAAACCGGGCGTGATGATTCACGGAAATCACGGATGATCCTGTGTGGTAGTCTGTGTGGGATGCGGAAGCGAGCATTTTTATCTTATAAAATCTTCAAGATCTAGTTTTTAACTAATGTTTTTGAATCTCCTCCATAAAAGAAAAAATTGAATCAAATCTATTGGGAGGTAACGTCACAAGTTCAACAAATACGAAACTTTAATCATCCTGATGCGGCGTAGTTCGCCTTCCTTTGGGCGGTTAGGCAAAAACACTTCAACGTCGATGTAGTTGCCCTTCAAGAGATAACCGGCGCACTTGTCTTCCGTTAACTGATAAAAATCACCAATGCAACAATATCTAAACTTGAAATGGATTGCATGTAGCAAAAAGGAACTGGCACGATTACAGTGTTTTCAAAGTCGTGAAACTTCTTCTTTTCTTTTAAAAATACTCAATATTTGTTCAGTATTAAAATTTACACAATTATTTTTCTTCACAATCCACAATCTTTTGTTGTTGGAAGCAAAAACTATTTGCTATCCTGGGAGATATTCTGGCTAAATATGAAGAAGCAACATTTTTACAACCCAATCGCGCTGGTTCCTTTTTGCTAAACACGATCCAAATGTCAGTTGACTTCTCCTCCAATATCAATAGAAAATAAACTCATGTAAGTTGAGATCAGTAGAAAATTTAACTAGGTACTCGGCCGGCAAGTGGACGGTGAAACTACCGGACCACGTATCTGGTTTGCGGTGTTTAAGATCTCCGCTTTCTTTCTATTTTTTGAAGCAGAACAAATCAATATCATTCCATGGAACTTCCACAGAATTTTCATTGCGAAGAGAAGGAAAATCCCGAAATATTCCAGAATTGACGTTGAGTAGTTTTCCATTTGAAAAATAAAGAATGACAGGAGGTCTACAACGTTGCAAACCGAAATATGATATGTTTTAATTCATTTCGTAAGAAATGTATTGGTCGTTTAGACCATGGTTTTGCTCCATCTACTACAAAATATCGGAGTATAGTTGATATGTTTTAATTCATTTCGTAAGATTTTTTTCTATGTTAATGTAGACGCGATATCAATGTTATAACGCCGGGTCATACGACTGTATCTATTTAGATGCTACCTGTGTTGCGCGTAAGGAAATTGAAGGCGCACGCCAAAAGTTGCATGTTTCGTTCCACAGTGGACAGTGCGCTGCCGCGCTCCGTTGCTCTTACAAGTGAATGAGGGCTGCACACAGCTCAATGGCGTGGCGTGAATTGCGATATATAGATTGTGCTGCCATTTAAACCTATAGTTCAGAATCGATTATTAAGGTGTTCGCTGCGAACACCCTGTCTATCGATCCTTTTCCAAAGGTTTAAATGGCAGAACAATCGATACATCGCAATGGACCACTAAGGTACGAATTTAAGCATTCTGATACATGTATCTTAACCAGAATTTCACGTAGAACACGATTCGCGCAACGAAAATTACTGAAACCAACTCTTAACGAAGCTATTAACATTTTTATTTCACATTGGTTACGAGGAATTTGAACTGCCCGCTCACAAGAAACTCAAAACTCTACGTGAGTCAAATCGCGCACTACAACGGTTTCAGCGATCTTCTCAATCGAGCAATGTTCATTTCCCACCATGTGTTTTTCAAACTATGAGTAATTTGCTATAGCTGAGCCAAAGCGCCAAGATTGAGGTTGCCAGATTTGTATATCGCAGAGGCTGTCATGATAACGTTTAGCGCGCTATGTGAATCTCGTAGAGCATTGAGTTTTCATGAGCGGGTGGTTTGAATTCACGCATCAAGAATCATTAAATATCTTTGTAAGGAGTTAATTGCGGTAATTTTCGTTGTGCGCATCGTGTTTTACGTGAAATTTTGGTTACATAACATGTATCAGAATGCTGAAGTTCGTACCTTGTCTAGTGGTCCATTCACGCCACGCCACTGACACAGCTGCGATACCACTTCAGAACCACCAATCTTTCGAGGGATCGTTTTGAAAAGTTGCTGCCTTCGGGGTTTTTCTGGAGAATTGAGTAAACGTTTTTTGAAATTCAAACTTTTGAGTCCAGTCTCCGTCTGACAATGAGTGAATATCAAATTCATGCCGAGAACGTACGCGGCGACGCACAGGGAATCGAGTCAATCAGAGAGGTCGGACATGAAATTTTTTACCAAAACCGCAAATTTTGATGTCCATTCCGTCACATTTTAAATCTAGAGGAGTGCATCTGCAGGAAAATTTCAGGAGAAAACCAATTGGAGCCTTTTTCAGAACCTCAAATTTTTGTATAAACGGAGTTATAAGCTTTTAAAGTTTCCAAATTTCCAACCCCTCCCGTGGACTCGATCCACTGTGCGACGCTAGAAAAGAAATTCCCTGATTAAAACCGGCATGTATCCCGTTTAATATCCTACTAAAGAGTCATAAACCCCCCTCTCCCTCCATTATTTTACGTTCTATGCGTATTTTTTACTTGAAACAGCATAGCACAGCAATGGAAATGTGGAATAGGAGTACAACTCAAGCTCCAGTGCGCGCCTTCATTTCGTACTCCTGCAACACAGATAGCCATCAAGCAGGAATAGTTGCATAGCCTCAGGCGCTTTTAACTAATGTCGCGTCGTCGGTCTTGGAATTAGGGTTAGGGCCACGTTATAAGCGACTGAAAGACACCATTTTGTTCCAGTTGGTGTTACTTTAACGAATGGAGGAGCAATGTCATCTCTCAGAATTCTCCGATGGTTTCAATTTGATTTTTTACATAAAAACAGTTGTGCGGATTTTCTTCCTAATTTCAGCGAATTTCCTGTATAATACGAAGCAAATTCCTCAAAAATTTCAAGAGAATCCGCACGAGCGTTCTCTTGTAAAAAAAATGAATTGCCCAGTTAAATTTGGCAGGAGCCGACTAGCTGACGTGGCTTGGTCCCTTTATGTCATAAACGGGGCCCTAATAATCGGAAAAAAGTCAGGGCCGGGTCGTCTGAATCGTCTTGTTACAATAATTTACCTACAGTGCTCAGGCAATTCTTACGAGAAGATGCAATATCAATCTGCCCCGATTTATAAGAGTATTAGGTAATTTTACTCGAATAAACACACGCACATAAAACAACCGATGATTCGATTTACTCACCTCGAGGAACTCTCAAGAGGGCTGATTCAATTTCCAATTATGTTCCATCATCTTTACGGCCCGCTGAAAGGCTGTAACATTCATGTCTGTAAAAATTGATAAGTGCATAGTCTCGATGCCGCACAGTGGATCGAGTCAATAGGAGAGGTCGGACAAAATTTGGAAACTTTAAACGCTTATAACTCCGTTTATAAAAAAACTTCAAGGTTCTGAAAGTGGCTCCATTGGTTTTCTCGTGAAATGTTTCTTCAGAGGCACCCCTTAAAATTTAAAATGTGACGAAATAAACATTTAAATTTGCAATTTCAGTCAAAAATTTCATGTCCGACCTCTCCTATTGACTCGATCCACTGTGTGCCTTACTTACTACTCCCATTCAGAATAGTCATCATCTTGAGAAAAACCCTTCTTATGAGTGTTTCCGTTTCGAACTAGAGAAAGAGTCTGTGTGCTTTGCATCATTACATCTTGACCGTATTCCTCATTCATGATGAAATTTTCGAATTTTCCGCGATCATTCGGTCGGAAACTTGATTACTTACGCAGCTTCAATTAGGTAAGTATTATGAATTTACTTCGACCCAAATCAAGATTAATTCAAGGCCACTAAAAGAGTCGGTGAGTGAATCATTTGACTGAGTTTTCTATGTGACTCAATTTCCATCCATGTTCCGCACTAAACATGTGTCCGGCGATCGGGCATACAATATTGCCTTTGATAAAATTGAAGGCGCTTCACATGAAAAGAGCAAATCACTATGAAATTTTTAGCGTCATAGGCTCTGTACTTCTGTAGGTATCGCAATAACTAATATTTTATTCTATTTTCTGTCAGATGCGGTATGAGAAATTGAATCGTAGAGATTAAAGACATTATTTCACACACTTTTACAAATAATTTCATGTTCGTAATTCCCAGTCATTTTGAAATACCGCGCGCAAATGTAGCAGACAAAACAAAACCACGTGACCTAACCTTAACCCTCAATTTTTTTCCCTGTATTTTCCTCACGATTTCGTTGGCGTGTGCTTGTAATGGTTGTATTATGTAAAACGAAGACCTTCAGTTTACGAAGGTGCTTCTCCGTCTCTTCTGCCCAGCTAGGTCACCGCAGGAGTGTACATTCTTGCCCTACTTTCAGTTTGGACCCAAAAGTGGCCTCTTACAGTACAAGTCTCTTGTACCTTTAGCAAAGTGAGACTCATTGATGTTCCCCAGAATCTTCTCCAAGTTCATCACCAGTTTCACCAAAAAACCTACTTCAAGAGTAAGTGAACTTTCACCAGTCAGGAGCCTTATCTTCTCCATTAAGTACTTCACTATTTGCTGAGCTGTCAACTTAATTGGCGAGACAAGTAAGATGAGTACGGCAATACGTTGTCCTAAAACTTTAACATAAAAAAAATTGTAAATGCGAAGTCTCTAGTACCTACTGTGCATTAATTATGCGCTGTTATCAGGAATTTAATCTCCAGCCAGTCATTTTATCACTGCTCATTGTTGAGTGCGCGCTTTGAGGTGAAGTATCTCTCCAAAGAAGTGGAAAATTGCTTTTTTAACACATTCTGAAGTGGTGTAGTGAGGTAATAAACACTTTAAATTTCTACCATTTAAGTTGGCGGGTTCACCAAGCATCATTCAGTGCTTATCTGCCTTGATAATTCCACCCACATCTTTATCAAACATATTTGCTTTTCTCCTCCATATAAATCAGCTCCTTTTGTGACTTTTGCTCCGTACTCTAATCAAGTCTGTGCTGAAGTGTCCATACCTACGTGTCTCCTCTTCACAGCTGTATCAATTTAATCTGCATCTTCATATAAATTTAGTTTCAACGTAAGACAATAATTCCTTCTTGCCTTTTTAACTTTTAGCTTATAATAGGTAGCAAGTCACAATCACTTAAGGTTACTATGGGAAAGTTTGAATAATTTCTTCATTGATTAATAACTGTCAAGTTTGAACAAAGCGTGATATGTGTCCATCTCTCATTCCTTATTCTGCATTACCTAAGTTACTTTTTATTGCAGCTCCTCACTGGGTTAAGTTCTAAAAGTCATGAAATCCGGAGCATAACTTACAACTCGGCATTTTTGCCGAATGGTCAAATGCCTTATTTCATAGTAAAATGTGCAACTCACCATCACTGCGCTAAGTGGTGAGGAAAAAATGAAAGTTACCCTTAAAAATTGCCTCACGACTTACGCTTTGCCCCGTTTTTGCTGTGCTCAAATTACATAATTTTTTCGCAATCTTTTTCAGATCATGGCACCCCTTCTCCATGAAGTTGACACTCCAACAAAAGAAGCCACTTTTGGGATGGCCTGCTTTTGGGCCCCAGACTGTCTGTTTGGAGCAACTCCTGGTGTGATTAGGACTAAAGTAGGATATACAGGAGGTTCAAAGGGCACTCCGTCCTATCATAATTTGTAAGCACATGTCAAATATTTTTCTCATTCCATCAATGATTTTTGCAAAATGTGTGGGGGAGGAAGAAAAAGCCTTTAAACCACAAAATATCCAAATTTAGATTTTCGTGATGGTCTTCTCCAGTGACCTCTCAACTTTCAAGGACTACAAAATAGTATCATTGAATTTTTTTTTAAAAGAAAAATTTCAAGTAGCCTTCAGCCCTGTGAGCTACTTGAGCGTGGGACTATCAACTTCAGGTCTTACAGCTGGGAATCAGACCTGGGACCTCTTGATCATAGGGCCAGCGCTACAACCACTTCACCTATAAGAGGCTGACAATAAAACCTGAAGGTTCATTTAAGCTCTTTCGAAATTTCGCTGAAAGTAAAGGTGGAGGACAATGGCCTCGCACCATTTTTTTGTTTTGTTTTTCTGCTGCATTTTTTTTTAAATATTTTCTTATTGGCAAAGTAGCCAAATATTTTCTTATTGGCAAAGTAGCCTGTAACTAAGAGACAGAGTTTCAACTCTTTCCTTTAAAACATGGGCAGAGAAAGGCTAGCCAAAGGAGATTTGTCCAAGTGAACCAATCAACATTATAGCCTAATTTTTTCATTTTTAAATGAGCCTTTCATTTCCTAAAAATTCTCAAACAGCAGAGCCCATCAGAGATGTTTTAAAATCATCTGATAGATTTTTCAATTCCAAATCAAGCCATGAAACAGACTTTTTGACCTAGTCTCATCAGAATTCAGTGAAATTCGGTTCTTTCATTTTTCCCTTCCAGTAGACTGATCGTTGAAATTGTGTGCCTGTCTAGTAGATAAGACAGTACTAGTGAAATGTGATAGACCGAGGGAGCTGTTTATCAGGTTGAGTAATGGACTACAGCGCAGGGCATCTCTTCACTGGCCAATAACCAGTCAATTATTTTGCCTCTTGCATTCCTCTCATCAAAGTTCCTTTTCCTACTTCAATAAAAAAAAAATGGAAGGTTATGATCGTTACACTATGGCTGTTTTTTTATTTCATTTTTAGTTTTTTCTTTGTTATTTTAGAAGTGATCACACAGAAGCAATTCACATAGAGTATGACCCAAAGGAAATTGACTACAGCACACTTTTGAAATTATTTTGGGAAAATCACAATCCTTCCGCAAGAATGAAACTTCAGGTAAGATTTCTTTCACCATGTTTTGTTCTGTAAGTTTTTCAATCATTGGAATGTTGAAGTACCTAATGTGACAGTTAAATTCCTCCCTGGATTTTGATTGCATCGGAAAAGATCTCAATCTTCAGGCTTACTAGTAGGCACTGTAATTTTGCAGACAAAATCTAAACGATGTCTTAAATTTTTTTAAATTTTTCTATTTATTTCTATTTCTATTTCTAAATTTTCTTGGAATTCTGTTGTATGATTTCTTTGACTGACAGTAAAACATTCATCACAGAATAACAATTTCTGCAATACTGATTTATTTTTCAAATCAAATTAGTCAACAGTCAGGTGTAGTTCCTGTAAGTAGTATACTTCAAATTCATTTTACAACTTTTAGTTTTATGTACAAATGAAGGCTTAAACTTGCTAATTTTAAAAAGAAAATGTTTTTATTTTACCCTTGAAAACAAGAGCTGAGGAGCAAAATACCCTTTCAACAAAAGAAGTATTGTTCGATTGATCCTTTGATGCGTATGGTCCCTCTCACAACACACTTATATTAACGCAATTTTGATGACTTAAAGTCTGGTGAAAATGGGAGAAATGATGTGAAATTAATAAGGAGTGCAGAATACTCAGGAGAATGCTGACCAATCTGTGTTATTTCCAACATTTTCAACATCAAAAATACATGCTCTGAAAATGTCACTCCTTTCAAAATACATTTAAATGGAGATGAAGAGCTTTAAGCTGTTTTGCCTGTAAAGATACAACTTATCAAGGTAGGCCACACAGGTTTACTCATAGTTCATGCGACAGTAAAAATTGCTTAGGTAATTTTTATATCATTTTTCCAAGTTTTTAAAGTGCTTGATTTTCTGGAAGGAGCTTGAAAAGTGCCGGTCTATGTAGTTCAAACAAAAGTTTTTGCATATCTTTTCTTCTTTTCCAGTATACATCAATGATTTGGTATCATGACAATGAACAAAAGGAATTAGCTGAGAGTACTCTCAAAGAACAAGAAAACAAACACAAATTACCTATAGTTACCAAGATTGCTCCAGCCTCCACATTTTATGATGCTGAAGAGTAAGTATTCTAGTTTATCATTATTGTCTGTTTCATAACAAAGTTATGATGGAAAAGAAAAAAAAATTGTACTGATAGTTTTCTAATATCTTTTTAAAATGATGAATGATCTAGATCTTAAATCTTACAATCACTCTTTTCTGTTTTAAAAAAATGCATACCAAGTTTTCTCAGTCAGTATAATCATATCTTCAAAATCCCAATATATCTCAGCATTGCCTAAGAGATTAGAGAGGCCGAAACTACTCGGTTTCATGACATCAAAGTAGTAAAGCAATCGCCTTGTTAACCAATCAGAGCTGCTGTCAATCGGCCGAAGTTGCATGAGCGGCGTGTTTGAATCTTAGTGGGGTAGCAATTTTCGGTATTTAGTAGTGTTTAGCTTTTATTTCCTCAATTATCAGACATTGAAACTTACAAACTAGGCAGTTTTCTGCAGTGAAATTCTATCTTCTCTCGAAAAGGTTTCTATGAAATTTTTGCATCAGATCGACCCCTGAAAAGATATTAGCACCAAAGGGACATGTGTCTTGCGTTCTCCCATAAGAACACATGTTAAATTGCGGCCGAGTTTCATCTACTAGCGTGATGTTACAGAATTGTAGTTACGGCCTCTCTATTCTCGTAGGCAGCGATCTCTGTCGAGAAATCTCTTTCTTTTCAAGCAAATAATTTGATGTTAGTGCCCTCTACTTATAACTAAAAATATTTTATGTTATAAAAGCAGGGTGTGAAGCCCCCTCAAGGGTAGAGACAAGATTTTGATACGATATCATAGCCACAGTGTTTGATTCTTTAGAAACAAGAATACCCATTATATTAGGAGTTTAAGGGAAAATCTCTTTTTGAGTAAATTTTCCCTTTTAGTGGTACACTGTTTGGAGCAACACTGGTTAGGACCAATCAGGAGAGTCACTGCAGATACGTTATAGATCTAATCAAATCCATCATTAGTTTAGAGCAGCCTTCTGACTTCTGCTTTCAACCTCAGGGACGTCATCAAAGAGGCTCAAAGGTTTGAGTAAGCAGCCTCAGCGACGCCATCTAATGACCTCAGAGTCGTTTTGATGGCGTTGTCAAGCTTGGAAGCAGAAAGTCAGGAATCCACGTTGCACCTATGATGAATCCAATTAGATCCAAAATGCGTCTGCAGTTGCCATTCCTGATTGGTCGGAGTTAGTGTTGCTCCAAACAGCTTACTCCAAAAACTCTAAAAATTTACTCGAAATCAGTTTTTCCTTCTGTAATGAGTGTTTCTGTTTTTGCAGCATCAGTCATCATGACTATGATATTTTGTCAAAGTATTTGCCTCTGCGCCTGCAATCTTCGTACCTAAGCTTGAAAAGAGCCTGTTTCAGTCTTCACGATTATTAGGTGTTTTTGTCAGCTCGAGCTCAACAGATGTCTCTTTAACTTCAGGATGTTTCCCATTAGATACCATTTTTATCAAATAATATTATGAAATGCGTAACTGTCTCTGAATTTGTCTCATTGATTTTTGCATTTTTTTTAGTTATCACCAAAAGTATCGGCTTCAAGGACACCCATGGCTTTGCGAAGCTATTGGTATGAAATCTGGCGCCAAATTAAAGAATTCTCATCTTGCTGCTCGGTTAAATGGTTATGTTATTGGATGTGGAGGCGTGAATCAATTCAATGCTGAAGTTGGCAAACTAGGTCTTGACGAGAAAACTGCTGATTACGTCAGAAAATTAGTGATTAAAAACGAAGGCAATGGACTAACTTGCTAAAGGATCTTCTGTCTTCAATGACTTTATTTTACACTTTTTTAATTTATTTATTTATCATCTGAGGATGTATGATTTATTTTTCATCCATAATACACCTTTTATAGTTGAAATTGATTGAGCTTTTACCCTCTGTCATTACTTACAGAGGATAGCCAAAATTTTCAAAACTTTGGCATGACTGAATCCTACATTGAATCACCTATTTTATCAAGGAACAGATTTCAGTTGATGGAGATTCGATCGTTAATGATTGGGAACGTTTTTAAAATGTTTTTTTCTGAAAGCGTCTTGGAAGTATCAAACTTTGAGAGTGTCTTTCAGCTTTGTCATGAATACAACCTAGCGTTTCTAGCAAATTTCTAGCGTTTCCTCCCTATCGTTCTCCATATTCTTATAATTTTTCTCAGTTCTGTCTTTCCTTACAGCTTTCTCAAATATTTTAAATTTCTCAGAACCTTTGACTTCCTCCAAACAAGTCTTGCTTTGCTGACCTGAAATAGCAGGAAAAGAAAAAGTTTCCTTTAAGCTAATATTTTAGTAAAATTCAATTTTATAACGTTGATCACTGAGTAATGAGATTAAATTTTAAAATGTAGCTTCAATCTGACAAACACACTGATAATATGGGACATCGTTTACTTGACACGTGCATTTACTTGATGAGATTAGCTGTTTAACATCATGTAAGTGATCAGTTTTTGGTTTCATCAGATTTGTCGCCCAATATCAAACAGTTCCATCATCTGTTTCCTTTTGAAGATTTTTTAACGTAAAAAAATAGACTGTGAATAACCGCTGCTAATATTACATCACTTTTTAGACTCTGTACTTTCTGTCGCTAATAATTTTAGAATTTCAAAATTCTGATTTTTGGGATGTTGTCATAGGAAGTGTGAAGTAAAAAATGCTAATAAATAAAAAGAATATTAAAGTGAAATGAGGCTGTGAAAAAAAAAAAAAAAAAATTGTGGTTACTCCATGTCTCTCAGGTACAAATTTGAAATTCTATTTTTAGCATGTCAAGTTTGAACAATCTTTTTGTCAATGAGAAGGCTTCTTCAATGGGACACGTGTTTGAAAATTATCGTGTGGATTTGAACACTGCTGTGTCTCCTGCTATCTATGAAGACAACAGGTAATATTATCTGTCCATTTTCATTCGCCCATTGTTTCCTACTTTACCATTGTCACTGGCGAAGAGGTAAAACTTTTATTCTTGGAACATTTCATAATCCTCATTCAGAATCATTGTTCATTGTGCTTCAACTATTGTTTACCATGGGCTGTTATGAAATTAAGGGTAACCCATCTCTTTTATTTTTAGCAAGAATCACAAAACCTTCACTTATCCTGTTTTGAAATCACTCTTCAATCTTTATGGTTAATGCTTTTTGAACATCAGTAGACAATCTTTTTCAATAGTTGGTAAGAGACGATGCTGACTTTTGATGGCACCATGTAGCCAATTTCTTTAAGTCATTCCAAATTCTTATTTTCATGCCATTATGAAAGAATAATGACTTCAATCTTATAGTTATATTTTTAAATTTCCTCATAAGATTATTTCTATTTGTCTGTGGCACGGAATCAAATGATACTTTTAGTGTCTTCAACTTAATCAGTTACTTATTCACCTCTGTTAAGACATTTATGGGGGTGGTGAACTTCTTAAGAGTGATTTTGATTTCCGTTGGAAGGAGTATTAGACAAATTTGTCAAGAATTAAGAAAAACAAATCTCTCTCCAGTTGGAGAGTGTGCGTTTCAAATTTTTCTTTGCTGCTGATGATAAGTGAGCACAACCTGACCCCATCTGAATTTATTATAATTTTTTGACTCCACTGTCCAATTGAATCAAGATCAATTCTAAAGATGTTCCCACCCTCAAGCTATGCTCCAAATACAAAAATAGTGTTAGTTTATTAATTGTTGACTTTTTTACAAGATGTATACAACTTTTGCCTGTGATAGTCTCTTTCTTGTTTTGTCATTCGTTTTGCAATCTAATCAATAAATAGCTCGAGTGTCACCAAATTATGTCTTCTGTATTTCTTTCCCTCAGTGCCTAAGTTAAAGTAGAAGTAGAAGTCGAAGTCAGATAGGGCACTAAATCAGGTGCAATCCAATGAGGATATGAAGATTTTGTACAAGAAAATTAAAATGCCTCTTTAGCTGTTAAAGGAGCATAGTCCACTTTGCTTTTGTTTTTCTTCCAAATAGATTTTTTCCAATGGAGAACAGCGGGCTAACTGTTGAAATCGGTAGACAAAGTGATAGACAAAGAAGACAAAAAGGATATGGAGGGATCCTATTGGTGGAAGCAGGTGGTTGCAGTAGACAAAGGTATAGACTAACTAACAGCAACTCATGAGACTCTATAGTTAGTCCCTCTTTTTCTCCCTTAGTCGGTAGGAACCACCCATTTCATTCGATGAGATCGCTGTATACTCTCTTTGTCTTCTTTGTCTATTGCTTTGTCCATAAATTTTTACAATCAGTCTGCAGCTGAGAGAAAAAGATGTACTAATCGAGGCTGTATACCACATGGTGGTGGTATTGCGTGGTGTGATGTATTTACAATGTTTAAGCCAGAAGGACTTAATATCTCGATTTATGACGGTGTGAACTTTCTGATGCATTTTATCTGAATATCCAAAAATGAAGAATTTGCAATTGACCTAATCTGTGATAACTTTTCTTTCACAAGAACAAAAGATTCATCACGAAAGATTCTATAAAAACTTTCATGCTGAAATATTATATATGTAGTTTCAAATCGTATAGAATCAAATTTTTGCCGATGTGTTAGATGCACACGAATTCTAAATTTGTTCTTAAAAACTAGGAAGCCGAAAATTAGTGGAGAAAAGAAACTTTTAAATTGAAAGGATTTAAGGGCGAGAAAAATAAGTATTACTTTGTTTTGAAAAATTTCCAGAGAAGGCAGTGGAGGTGGTTGGTGAGAGGTCTCTCTTAGCTTCGAGTGTAGAAAGAGTAGATGAACTATCTGACCTCGTACACTTGGTTGCAATACAAACATTTTATTTTAACTTTAGTATTAATAAATACATACAGAACTTACTAATTCTACGTACAACTTGGATCACAGATTTTGAAAAAGTCATTTTTGTACAAAGTACATCAAATTGTTGCGAAGCTTTAATTTTGTATCAAAACCAATGATTGAAAACATAAAAAAAGAACAATTCAAAAACCTTTCCGGTAAGAAGCAAATACATTTTGGAAGCGGTATATCTGTGAGGTTTTCCCCTCTTAAAAAGGACTGAAAACCTGATAAAGTATCAGGAGGGACCGATTCATGAAAAAAAAAACTATTTGAAACGGATAAACAATTTAAAAAAAAGGCTTCTAGCCCTTGAAAATTGAAAATATCTGGGCTGTCGGCATGAATTTCCCTCTAATGTAAAGGCCTCCTTGTGCCGTGAGTGATAAATTGCTTTGGGGAGCTTTATGTTAGGGAAGTTGCCATGAATACGGCCCAAAAACAACTACATATTAACACATTGATCAACAAACATATCATTGTACTAATAATATAGAAAAAATTAAGGCAACCATCAAGATTAATTTTAAAGTATTTGGGACATCCGGGCAGAAGAAGAGGATAATCTTTTCTGGGGTATCTCAGAAACCTGATTTGAGCTCTTAACTTTTAAAAAACACAAGAAATTCCAATTGGACATTTTACGCTAAAAGGAACTGTGCACATAGGGTTACGTAGGGTTGCAAAGGGCGACATACATAGTTCCTCTTAGCAAAAATACATCCGACTAAAGTATTTTTGAGCCTCCCAGCCTCTCTGTCTTTACAAAAGGCACATCCCGAGTCTCAACATTTTGAGACAGGCAAGGTATATTTCTTTTTCTTCCAATTAGATTCAGATTATGCGACAAAAAATAGAAGCTCTTCATAGCACTTAATCTTCATGGGAGACCTGCCCTGTATTCTACTGTCCCGAATCAACGGTTATGTGCATTCAAAAAAACTTAAATCATCCAACTTTACTCATAAAACTTTTTCATGAAATTCATAAAAATTTTCGATCAAAATCTAATTCATAAAAATATTTACTCTTCAGGCTTCACTTTGCGTTAACTTATTACAATTTAAAAAGAGAACATTACATTTCAATCAATACTATTGATTATGCGTTCCAGTTCGAACATTGTGATCTTATGATCGATTCTAGCTGTTGCCTGCCTTGATGGAAATAAGCAATAAAATCAACAAAACTTGTTCAAAGGAAGGGCTTGTCTCCTTAGAGCATTTTAACACAATCAATCACTAAAAAAATTAGCAGGGAGTATTGACTGATTCAAAATTAATTTTTGCAATCAAAGGATCTGGTGCAACTCTCGCGAGTCTCATATCTTGCGTATTTCATTTCTTGCTTTCTGAAAATTTGAGCATAAGTCAGTTTACAACATTTTCTACAGCAATTGATCACACAAAAATGCCGAAAGGAGACAATAAGTGTATACGTGACAATTATTGGAAGGCATATATTTTTAAAATTAACACCCTTTGCCTGATGAAAAAAATAAAACGAACGACATAATTTTCAATTCTGCAAAAAGCGACTTCAAAAACCACCATTGAATGCCCCCCTCCTCTCTAAAGTATTTTCATGATAAAGTTCTGAGGATAGTTGCATATCGATGGTTAGATGCAACAAATACATAACTCACTTGCAATGTTTAAATATATCCAATTACGTTTAATTTTCATCAGGGAAAACTAATTAAGATGTTTCTTTACAATTTGGTGTATTTTTTTTTTTTTTAAAAAAAACTATTGGTTAGTTTTTCTTAAAAAAAAAAATAAAATAAAATAAACATGAGGGGAGACTTAAAATGTCACAATCTTGGACAGGCATCTTTTGACCTGAGCCATTGATATATTCTTGGACTTGGAGTTTGAGTTTGAGTTGGGAGTTTGAGTTGGGTTTCAAAGTTTTCAAGGGATTTTCTGGTGGAGGGAGAAGAAGGGGGGACAGAGTCTAGTGATCTTCAACGGTTTGATACGGTATATTTCTATGCTTCTGAAAGGAATCATTGACAAATAGAGGGTAATTCAAAACCCTGCAAAGATGCAAGAACCTTGGGGGCCGTGGGGGTGGCGCAGTAATTTTGGATCACCCTGTATATTTTGTACGACTTTCAGGGGGGGACAAGAGAGATTTTCGGGAAATTTTTTTTTAAGAGGATGCACCACGAAGCTTCAGCATACTTCCTTATTCAGTTTAGGTGCCCAAAGTTTGCCTGACATCAATATATTTTACAGACCTTATAACAACACATCATGTTTAAATGATTATTTTGAAGGTCCCTTGTATTTATAAAAAGAAAATATTATCGATCCTAAGAAAGACAGAGAGGAGGTTTTGGTCCTAAAGACTGCTTGTTGAATAAATTAGATGACAAATATGACACCCGGTCGCAGGTGATAAGATGCCTACCTGCTGAAAATGACTAGTTTTAACACAGAGTTTGGATCTGTACTTTATACAATAAATTGAGTAAAACACAAAATTTCGCCCTGAATACAGTAAATAACAGGATAGTAGAAAAGTGTTAGGTCCACACTATTCCACGGAGAAAACGAAGAACGTCCAATTTTGACCATATTCAAGAGCGCGAAAACCGGCCATGGAGAGCCAGAACCCACCTGAACATTCTTACACGCCTCAAACAGAATTAAAATACATCATATATACAATGCGGGGCAAGGCACCATAAAAGGACTTCTTGAAAATATATTTTTTTTTAAAATTTTCTTCATGTTTCTTGGAACATTGTTCGGCAAATGACGGCAGATGGCTAAAAGATCACAATAAGGGGCTACGCCTAGATTTGTATCAATAACCGCATTTTAATGCTGTCTGAGGTAGGTTAGAATGTTCAGCTGGGTCCTGGCATGCTACAGCTAGTTGATGAGCCTCAATGAGAGCAAAACTGGTGTTGGTCTGTTGACGGGACCTCAGTAAAAAATTTTCAATGCATCTGCCCATGCTAGGTGCTTCCCCCCCTCCCACCCCTCTAGTTTTGCACTGAAACGAATTGAAGTTCTTTTTTTAATCTCTGGGTTGAGTTTTTTTCTTCTTCTCTAACCTTTGTTCTTCCTTGAGATTAGTGTGAAACCAACACTATTCTACCATCCTGTTTTTTAAAGTGAATTGTTTACATTGAAGTATTTATTCCAATTACAAAATAAGAGGTATATTTGACTGATTCAGGGCAAAAAGTATGAGAAATAAAGGAGTTAAATTTAAGGTAATCATGCTTCACTGTTTGATGAGATTAATTCTGCGCAATTTCCTAACATAAATTGCAAACTATTATTAGAATTTCAAAAATTATTAAAATTTTTGGGTGTCATTTGCAGAAAAAGATTCAGAACTGATTTAAGTAAGCACAAGTCGATGGTTATCTAAAAAAACACCTTTATCTGAAGTTCCTTTACCCTAATAGGGTATCAGATTTTATCATGAATGCTGAAAACAGAAGATAATTTTTTCCTTTAAACTCATTTTAAAAACTTACTTCTTCAGCAATAAAGATTCATCTTTAGGATGTCTCTTTTTCAAATCAAACAAAGAAAAACAGCTGACCTTTTCCTTATGCTTTGATTGTGACCTAGGATTTTCTCCAAGTGCAAAACTCTTTAAAAGCTACTTGAGAAAAGACACAATGTTCAAAGGAGTAAAAAATATTAAAAACGTATGTACGGTACAATAGTCTTTCTCTTTTGACACCGTTTTGTTCTACTAAAACTATAAAAAGTGAGATTTAGGATTTTACAGGGTTAAAAGGCAAAGAAATTGTTCATGTGGAGACATTTCTCAAAATGCTTCACAAAAGAAAGGAAGTAAAAAAAAATTGGTTGGCTGAAAAAAGGCTTTCATTAAATGGTATTTTTTTCCTTGCAAAATCTCTTCAAAACTTCTAGGATGAATTGATACTCCTACAAAGCGTATACCCTCTATTCAAACGCTTAGGTAAATTCATATATTACAGTCTTAAAACACAAGTTGTTAAAAGGGAAGAAAACTGTGCATTTCCAACGGAAAAAAGCCTCATACCCTACCCCCCTCCCTTAAAATGAAAAAAAAGGAACAAGATGCAAAACGGATAACAATATAAACAACGTACAAGGATTGTGCCTTTCACAATTTTTTCTTCACGTGAATTGTAACTATGCCATCAAAATCTTGTCTGGCTTGTACCATTATGTCATGTTCCTCTTTTTTGGAGCTGATTCTCTCAAGAATATTTAACTAAAAAAGTACTTTCTGTATTTTTTTCTGCAGAATTATTCTGTATTTTTATGCACAATAATTACTTGTACAATTATTATAATTTTAATTAGTTACTGTTGTTTTTATTCTTTTTTTAAGCTCATGTTGAGCATTCTTTTTGTATTGAATTATTTAATTACTCAGCAGTTTTTTGTGATACTTGATTCCTGAGGGGATTCAGACCAACAATGTTGAAGTTTACTTCTTTGCATCAATAAGATACATTTTGAAGCCTAGTAGCTTTTTAAGTCTTTCTTTAATTGTAGAGAAAAAAAAAAAAAGAACTGGTAAAAAGTAGATACATTTCAGACAAAATAGTGCAAGCAAGAAATGACTGCCATTAATAAGATTTAACGAGAATTTTCTTGAGCGTAAATGGACATGTAAGGCATCTCAGCTATGGTAGGGATTTGACAAGGAAATACAAAATAGTATACGTGGAAAATCTATAAACAGTTAACAAATTCCTTGAAAAATTAAAACAATTGACTGCTGATAAAGAGTATAAACTGATTCAACTGCAGTCTTCACACAAAATACTGATTTCTTAATAGGGACAGATGAATGTTCAAGAGTAAAGACAAATCGTTAAAAGAGAAAGAATTTTGTTACTTGAAAAAAAAAAAAAAAATACTGGAACAAAATACCAAGGTTTTTAATTGTTGCGGAATGACAAACAGACTTGGTTATAAATGGTATGATGTGTCAACATGCAAACCGGCTTCTGTCATGCGAAGGATTGCAAGGCCAAAACTTGAATAAATGGGAAACTTAAATCTCATCTCTTCCTTTCTAGAAAAATTACCATAAAAATAAAACAGACGGAATACACACAAAATACATTAGCACGGTTATTTTACTCGTGAACTGAGAGTTAATTGTCATTATTAGAGTAGGAAAATATTTTAAGGGAATTGTATGACCTCCCTTTAGAATTTTTGAAAATTGGAGGTATTTACTCTCTTTGAGAACTTTTAAGTTTACTGCGTGTAGACAGTGAAACTGAAGGAACGCGCAGGGTTTCACATTTTATCTTCATCAAAACAGAAAAAATCAACACTATTGCTTTAAATTTTCCATGACTGTTCTCCACAAACAAAAGAGAAATCAGGGAAGTTTCCAAGAAATGATGTTGAGTATTTTTCCACTTAAAAAATAAAGTATGATGGAAAGTCTGTGATAACGCAAACCAAGCTACGTATTCTTACAGTTTCACTGTTGATGTTTTGGCAATGATGACAACTACAAGTGTTCCTCTGATCATCAGAACATGAAGTTCTAAGGACTACTCTTTGACAGTGAAAGCGACTGTTTGCTCGCTTAAGAAGTAGAGATCTAAGAAAAAATAGAAATTTAAACAAACTTTTCCATTGATGGTTGTTTTTAACTAGTGACATTCAAAATTAGAGGATGAAATTAAAAAACTGGGGTCAAAGACGAGGTATAGTTTCTGAAATGAGTTTTCTCAAAGAAAGAATAAATCAATCCAATAATAACCTGAACAAACTATTAATTTAAAACATATTAGGAACAAGCGGCTAAAATTGGGACTTCAACATTTTAATCTACCTGTTGAAAGCCTCATTGTATGATTGAGAATGCGTCTCATGAAAGAAGGTGCTATACTCCGTATTGGGAGAGTGAGTTTTGAAAGCTCATCAATAGGTTTGTAATGATCTACATATTGCAGGAATGATAAATATTCTGAACTCTGAGAATTTCATACATCTGCTCAAATTTACTTCCTTAAAATATTTTCTCATGTCCTTGACTTCTAACGGCATAATTCAGTCTTGACCCAAGTGTTTCAGTGATATCCCGCGTAATTTGCGCCTTCTTTTTTACTTTTTAAATGCTCACTACGGAACTTCATAAAGCTTTTTCCGCACCATGAAAGAGTCGAGATGAATTAAAATATAAAAAAACCTTAAAAAAATCTACGGGAAAAGAAAGGTATGTGACCAGAATACATGGAAAAAATTATGAAAAAACTTAATGTATCTGATAAATGAGACTAGGAAATTGTTTTCCAGCAAAGCAGCTGATTGGAGAGGAGGTTCCCTGATGTGGCTAGGGGGACTTTCAATGGTGATGATCAATGAACAAAGCTTTCAAACTCCTCACAGACATTAAAACCTGGCTACAGTAGAGGGAGCAAACTAACCATTGAGTACAGTCAGATATTTAGAACATATCCAGTGTGCCAGATTATCAGTTGAATACTGAATACACAGTTAATTAGTAGGAGAGAATAAGTCCGTTCCAAAACGGCTTTCCAGTTACAGCAGGATACTGGCGCTCAAGGAACAAGGGTAACAAACAATAGCAAGAGTGAAAACAAACCATTGAAGGGGAGTAAACTGCTCCCTCGCAGATTAATTGACAGTTGCGTTAGAAATCAGAGAAAGGTACTAACCAACTAATTACTACGCAAATAAAATACAGATTAAAACAACTTCCATCACTGGTAGTAAAATCACTGGCAAAAAGTTGCTCAACTTTAAGAGATATCACACGAACGGCGAATTTTCATTGTTAAAAGGCATCTTTCTTGCATTGGAAGGAGAATCATAGGAAATACGGGGTTGTTATTCGATCGGGGACTTTACGTAATTCATTCGGAACAGCGTTGAATAATTTGGCTTGTCGTTGAGTAGTACTCTGGAATTCTAGGATTGCAGCCACGTTGCCACAGCGATAGCAGTAATTTGGAGCAGACCATACTGTCACAAGCTTTTGATTGAACATGTATTTTAAGCCTGCATAAGAAAAAAGGAAGAATCAGTTACAAATTCCAGAAGGACAAAATGAAAGTATAGGACATTCAAGAATCAGAGAATTCAACGAAAATGGTATATTTTGAACTTCTTTTAATACACTAAAAGTTTGATTGAGCTGCAGGTCTTTCAACATAAATGATAAACTGCTCCTCAAAGAGTGTCTCAAGAATATTTCCATTCATGTTGTGATTACGCTTTTAGCAACAGTATTTCTTCTTACACTCTATCATTTGACAAGTAATTATTAGTGTGATGAGTACACCCAGTCGTAAACTATATTAACTCTCAGTTCACTCATTTTTGACAAATTTAAGTATTTGTAAATTAGTGAGATTAAATTTGTAAAAAGGGAGTGAGCTTAAAGTTTATGTAACTGACAACTGGATGTATCTACTGATTTAAAAGTTCAATGTTTAGAAAGATCTACCTTCATTAGTAGTGCTTTAACTTTACCGGGCACATTCCACAAAATGCACCTATAAATGAAGGATATTGGTCACAGGAAACATTTCATAGTACCTCAATAACCTTCCCTCCTCCAATCCAGTTAAAAATGTTTCTGTTCGATCATGATACAAAGTTAAGGGCTCACACCAAATTTTAGGTCTAAAGACCTTTTTGTTTTGAAAATAAGAGGTATGACAGTTTTTAGCCCTTTTTCACATGCAAGAAATCCTCTGTTACTAAATTACCAATGCACTAATTCATTATTTTATTCAGAATATAACTCAGACTAATGGTTTTTTTAATTTTTCATAACACTTGTTGGTCCACAAGAATGATATATGATTTTGGAAAAGTGGGATGATTGCCGTCAGCTCAATTATTGACTTGTCTATTGGCCATTGAGCAAGAAATTGTAGGGATAAAATTATTGAAACATTGTCTGACTGAGCATTTTAGATACATGATTTTTTGACTCAGGGATTTCTGGCATGAATTTTGCATGCCTCATAGTTGACATTAGAATTAGAAGACTTGTCGCCCTAGATAGGTGGTACAAAAGATTAAGCATATACCTTCATGAACTAATTGATGCGCACGACACATTAACTGTAGATTATTGATTTCTATAAAGGCGTTTGTGACTGAGGATCCGAACAACCAGCCAGCACCTCGTGGACTTATGGACCATGTTTCAATATCTTCTGGATCAGACCAGACAAGATCACAAAAAGCACCTGAGGAGAGAGGTAAAAATATCATTGATAAATTATCTCTTTCGTTTCATTTTTGTACAGAGATTATATGACATGATGTTTTAAAATTTTTTGAGAGTTATCTTCAAAAGTTGAAAGATTTATCGACAAAATTTCAACATGGAGTGCTGCTAAGTTTTTTTGAAAATCAATAAAATGAGTCATGTAGTTAGAATGATTCTGATTGGTTCTGTATTTCAGATTTTCTGGAAATATGTAGCATTTTAACACTTTTCATTTCTGCAACAAATTTTTTATTGGGGTACTCTGTAACTCAGTGTGTTGTTTTTATTAAATTTACAAGATTGACGTAGAATTTGGAAGAAGGAATTTTCCGATATTTTCCTGATTTCTCTGACAAATTTTGATTGACTTCCTTGACTTCTGATAGAACATGTTAGAGTTTTTTTCCGGAGGAAATACACTATTTTAAAACTGCCACTTCCAAATCCTGAGCATGCAAAATTTGCTGTAGAAACGTTAAACACATTTTGAAAAGTAAATTAAAATGATTTGATGATCAATTCCAGAAATTTTCGTCATTTTTCTTGGCATTTTTTCAGTTTTACTGTCTTTTGAAAATGCCTTGATGTTTTCTGATTTTCCCTGACTTCGACAACCCTGGTTTTATGATGCCAATTTATGTGCAATATTAAGTCTTCATACAGTAAGGACATTGAAAAAACTCACTGAGCTAAAAACACTCACCTTTGTACGGTATTTCTCTATTCCGATCTATGTGACGGATTTGATCTAGAGTACTAATATCTGGAGATAGTCCTCCATGAACGCAAAATACTTGTTCGTCAATCAGCTATAGGCAAAAGCAAACAAGACTGTTAAACAAGTAAACCAAACAATGATTATACACATGAAGAAACCTTGCACTACGTAAGGAGACTCGTTACATTTACGGTTAAACTTAAAACCTCATTCTTGACATCACACCTAAAAAGAAAAAAGGTTGGATAGAGCACTGCAATACCATTGAATTTTGAGAAGTACTACAAATAGAACATTATGTCAAGTAGATTTCTATGAGTGAAAAAATAAATTTTTGGATGGCCAGGGGTGCAGACATTTTCTTGCCTTCACATATTTAAAGGCTGCTTTCACATTGCTATCCACAAGTGACTTCCTTCCCTTCGCATTTTTTGAGCCAGCCTCTACATTGCTGTCCACATAAAAGTTCACTATTTCTTTTGCTTTGAACATACAATTCACAGTTTCTTTTGCTAGCGAAGTACCGCTTTGCGGTTTTCCTCTGGAAGAATAAGACGTTTACGAGTTTCAATCCTAAAGACTGGCGCTGCCTTCACATTTTTTCTCCTTTTTCAGGTTTCTTTACATTTCAAAATCCCCTATTTGGCAGTCTTCACATTCTTAACGCAACTGTGTTGGTCCTTTGGTCATGGAAGTTTCGCACGAAGTTTTGCGTTGGATACGTTAGAGGATTTGGTGCCGTAACGAAAAAGAGCTTATAGTAATGAAGTAATGATGGTGACTTTCTTTAAATAAATACATTTTGTCATGCTCAGAGTTATATTGAGATTAAAACCATCCGTTAATCTATTTTTGTTGCAGCTTTTATCATACTTTATTAATTGAGCGACAAATCGTATAGGAGGTTTAGGGTAGAGGCATTGTGGAATACTTACAGCAGCAACTGTTAAGAGATCAAAAACTCTGCAACAATGTTTCCAGGCATTGACATTGCCATATTTGTTTAAACATTCATCTGTAAAATATAAATGATAGTTAGATCATTGAACAACTGTTGGTTGGTTCCAAGAAAAAAGGCCGTCCATAAATGAATCAGGTAACTTCTCCAATTCTTTGAGCCTCCTCCAACAATATCGTAACTGATTTGCGTGATAGTTCCCCCAAAGAAAAATAAAATGTTAGGAGAAATGCTGAAACAGCGCATACAAGATTAGTTCCTTTGTCCAGGAGACAACTTTGTCACAGATTTTTAAAGGCTGCATTCAGACCAACTTTGATTTTGTTTGGCCTTGGAACCTCTGAAAAACCTTATCAAGATTTTAAGACCAAGATCATTCAATTTGATTCATTTTGTTAAGTTTTTGAGGAGAGAGAACCTTGCATGTTGAATGACTCTCAAATAATAACTTACACATTTTCTGATTACCATTACTACGATCTCTTTGTATAGTCTGTTGCAACCTTTTTTGAAGGCTCCTTCTATTACATTTTCTACTGATGTTCCGAATTTATCACTCCAATTCCTGTTTTGCGCTGTCAAACTTGAACCCTGACCCTATTCATGTCGAGGGGCAAATTTTTGTGAGAGGAATAGGTGGAGGTTTATGCTTACTACCAACCTCCATTACAACAAAACGAAATTCCCTTCAGATGGCAATGAACCCACAATCTGAGGTTTTCTCGTAGGTAGAAAGGTCAACTACATCCAAAAATTAGTGACCCACCTTAGGAGGTGGGTCACTAATTTGTGGTCCCTCAACCCACCATAGGTGGTGGGTTGAGGGACCACACAGTTTAATTCTTGACTTCTAGCCAGCAGTTTTCTTTACCAGTTGGCACTTTTGTTATATTAGGCTCAAAATGTAACCAAATTCACACACGGAGATTCATTTTAGGGAGATGGGAACTAGATCAATGTAAAGCAAAACTTACCATAAAAACCATAAACTTGTGTAATTTGTCTTGACTCATGGTTGCCCCTGAGCAAAGTTATCCTGTCTGGCCATCTTGCTTTAAGTGTAAGGAGTCTAGTTAAAGTTTCCAGGCTAAAGTAACCTCGATCCACAAAATCGCCCATGAAAATATAATTGGTATCAGGAACTTGGCCTCCTTGTCTGAATAACTCTTCTAAATCATAGAACTATAAAAGAAACAAAAGAGCAATTTCATCAGTAACCACAGTAAAAGTGTTGTTATTTGTAATCCAAATACAGGAACTGTCCCTCTGTGTATGAAGTTACTCTATACTCATAATCAACTGTGTGTCTCATGAACGTATGTAGTGCGCTCTCAGAACAACTAATAAAATGTATAGCTTGAAAAGTTTCCTGTTTCTTCATTATTTAGAAACTGAAAAAAAAAGAAAAAAAGTATGAAGTAATCTAATAAAAAGAGGAGCTACTATCAGAAACCTCTCATGGAGATGAGTGCAAAAAAGTTAAAGATTGTTGTAATTCACTAAGAATAAACACAAGGCTGAATTACCTATCAACTACAGAATGAATCCTACATATTTCACCCTCCATCAACCGTAAGCTTAGACTTAAAGGGCACTCAATTTCGGTCCTTCAAGGACCTTGTCCTTAAAATACAAGCATAATACCTTTTTGAGCCATTACTGGCAGGCTACTCGGCCAATTTTTCTCAAATTAAAAAGAATTATTGACTTACCTGACCATGAATATCTCCACATACAGTGACAGGTGTGGACACTGGCTGAACATTCGACTCTTCATACAACAGATCGCAGACAAGATCACACAGTTTCTGGGGGAAAAAATAACACAAGTAATGAGACAGAATTAGATGCAGCAATCATAATGTGAAAAAAAACCAACTCCTAACCTAACTAACAATGACTTGTACAAGAAAATTTACAAATTAGATTTTCAAACAAAAAATAAAACTAAGATTTTTGGTGCGAGAGAGAAAGAGGGGCACCTTGCAGAGGGAGAATTTGAGGGGCAAAGGAAGACAACTCACCGATAGGGTTCTGAGAGGACTCTCTCGCCTCTAAGCAGGAATTTAGGAAGCCTCCTCTGAAATTTTTTTGAAAAACGAAACATAAAGAGAACAATATCTAGTTGTTTTGACAGAACATTTAATTGCAAAGATTACGGAAATGTGATGTACATACTTCGCAAAATGCATTAACAGTTCCTAGAGGGGAGAAGGCAGACCTTCCTCTCCTTTGTCCTACCTATGAACATTGTTAAGGGCCATAACAAGCTTTGAAACTCTCACACTTCTAACATTGCGGCACTCTGTTTTCATTACTGAGGAACAAGATGAGGCAATGATCTTAGGATATTGGGAATGCATTAGAGGACAGGTTCCATACAAAGGTATACCTATGTACCGTCTTGCAAGCATCTGGTTAGAGGATTATCATCTTCAGTGTAAAATCATGACTGAAATATAGCAGTGGAGAGTGGTCAATCATCTTTCCTCTGCTCATCACACTCGATATTGAATTTTAGTGCCTGTTGCATGCATAGGTACTTAAGCACCTCGGGAATTAATGGAGCTTTTCAAAGAGGCTGCAAGATTGGACTTTTGGAATTCAATCAATATAAAATCTACTTCTCTGAAAGGGAGGCTCATGGATAATATTACCAATTGTGATTACGGATCATCAACAGGTACACGGAAGTATGAAACTTCGGTGCCAGTGCATGGGGCATATAATGGTTGAAGTACAAATAAATGAGGAAATATGGGGGAGCAGATCCTAGCGAACGTAGAGGACAGGATGATGTAAAAAAAACCCAATATTGAGAGAACTAGAGGATAAAAATGATTTGGAGCGTTGAAAGGTTCCTCAGTTTTAGGTTAGATAACGGAGGACTTGGTTTGCGGAACAAGCTTGAAGTAGAGAAAAAAGTGTGTACCATGAGGTCGTTTTCGGGCAAATACTTGCACTCTTTGGCCATTTCAATCCATGAATCGAGATCACCCATCATGAGGCTTTTTGGTTGGAAAATTACAGATCACATCACACAAAAAACATGTACTATCAGAATTGAATTCTGAAAAGTGGAAACTGTTGAGGGTTGAGGTGGAGCGACGCTTATCACGTTTGTGTTACGTCACATGTTTTGATATTTCTATCCGGGAAGAGCGCCAAAATTAAAACGAGCCAATCAGGGCCTCTAATTTTCTTTGTTTCCGTTGAAAATGTTGAAACGTTGAAATCTTGTGACGTAGTTACTGGCATCGTAAATTCAACAGATCATGGCGGTAGCGAAACGACTTGCGCGCAGCTGAAAAGTTTACGATTGAGTTCTGCAGGAGACCGGAATTATCCCCGCTTCTCTCATCAAAATTATCATTATCAATTAAAGTGTTTTCTTAAAATCCTAATACTATCAGTGCTCTCAACGCAGCGTCGTACACGTGCTGGTTCTCTGCGGTTGCTCTTCATGTGTTTGCCCATCTCATGAACACTTTGTTTTCCTTTTGTGTGAGCGCTCAACGCCTCAACGGTGCATAAAACCTCTAACATTGTGCAATTTTCACCTTTTAATGTCTTCTACAATTGTTCCCAGTAGTGCCACTGGTAAGTGTTTACGGACTTAACATCCGCCACTCCAATGCATTCTTTAATGTAAGCGTAGTGTGAATTCATCATTCACCCAGTGGCAATCGCACCTTCATCAGTGAGGTAGACGAGTTTACGTCTATCAGCAGGAATGACAATTAGGCATTACTTAGATTTCACGCCAAATAAGTTTACGCATGTTAAGACTGTGGCAGAAGATCTGCCGTTGTAATACTTGTATTCACTTCCAATGTCAAACTGTCAACAGTGATCTTCAGTCACTCTCTTAAAGCGTGTAAATTTATTTGCTGTGAACATTTTGAGTAATGAAAAGCATTAACATTTTAGCTTACATGATCCACCTTGTCTAAGTGGGATGGAAATGATAAATTGCGACTGTTATAGATCATGCGTAGTAGGAGCGTTGTCAGCCTAGTTGGCGATTGTTTTTGCTTTCCAATGCTGCAAACTTTGCCTCATGAGTATTTTATCATTAATCGGAAAACCTATCAACGCAGTTTCTTGAAATTTCTGTGAACTATCTTCATTCCTCAAGAAATGATCAGTGAAAATTTCAGCGATCATACTCACTCGTTTTGCTTCTCTTTATGAAAACAAAAACACAGTGTTAAGAGTCCACAATCAAAATATGTGGTTTCCGAGCTCAGCCATATGATGGCCATATTGTCAACTGATTTACATGATATCTATTGTATTGAAGCTTGAGTTGACCCCTCAAGTGAAGTGAGAAGTATACAGCTCAATAGAAACCTTATTCTTATATCTTGTATTTCAACCACTTCAACTTATTTAGTTTGTTCTATTTTTAGGTATACATAATGGAAAATCTAGAAACAAATGCCGTGAAAGAACCAGACCTAGTGGCCAACGCTGATCTTTTAGCATTAGCTGCGCCAGAATCTTTCCATGAGTCTGCTAACTCAACTGCGCAAGGAAATTTTCAGTCCACTACGCCTGAGGTTTGCCTTTGCATCTTTATTTTTATCTTAATGTTTATTCATCATGGGATCAATTCTGTTGTATTTGAAGCTGCACTTCTTGCGAATAAGCATAAACTAAGATACCTAGAAGTATAACTTTATTTGACCATGAAGGAACTATGACAAGAAAAAAACCAAAAAATCTTCTCTGAACAACAAATGTCTAAGTAAAAGATACTGTGTATTATGAAACATATTCCATCAGGAGTTTTTCATTTTCAAGGTACCAGAGTGTTGTTTGTCAAGGTCATTTGCATGGAATACCTATAAAATGAGACTCTCCAAAACCTTATTTGGAAAAAATTTTGAAGACATGTTCTTTAAATCTTGAATTTATCAATATCCCAAAGTTTCTTTGTATTCTTTGCTTTTCCCTTGTTATTTTTGTCTTTGATTTGATCAGTAATATAATTAACTTTTTGCGCAGAAATCTATGACAGTGGATACGTTCAATATGGAATCAGCCATCATGTCTGCTCCTGCGGGGCAAAGTCTTTCTGGTATCAACATGAATTTCTTTGTTGGGCTTAGAGCTGAATTACTTCCTAATAGTGGTGATGTTTGGTGAGTAATCAAGAATCCTAAGCTGTGCTTCTTTTGTGTACTGTTTTTTAACTTCACAAGATTGCTGCAGATAGTTTGAAAGCTGATAGTCCTCAAGAATCTATAATTTTTTCTCTCCTCAGTCTTGCCACTACAATTTCGGCTTCTTCCACTAAAAAATTCATTTTTCAGGTTTATACCCATCCCTCTGCAACGAGGTTGCCCACAGCTGAGGTTGTGCTGAACCATTCTCTCTCAAGGCCTGGGAAATATTGGTTGGAAAGTCTTCGAAAATTTAAGATGATCTTCAGTTTCCATGTATTCATCAGCCTTGAGCTAACCCTTGAAAATCAGTTAAACTTCCTGAAAATTTTAATATTGCTCCACTATGTAAAATCAGATTTTTGGCCCAGTATTAAAGAGTGACTTTCTCTGGGAAATGTCAATAGCAAGAACAGGAATGTCCTTAACAACTGCACAAAACACAAAACACTCTCATACGTACTGAGAATGCTTTTTTCTTATTGGTCCTCTTTATTATTTTTAGGTACCCAATTACGATCTTGGACATGGATGTTGAGGAAAGGGAAGTACTTTGTCATTATGAAAATTCGCAAAGTTCTGATGAGTGGGTTTGTGTAGACAGTTGTCGAATTAGACCAATTACGGTTAAACCAGCAGTCAAACCAGAGTTTCAAATCAATCAAAAAGTCATGGCAACTTGGAATGACAACCGTAAATTCCCTGCTGTTGTGAAGACAATTTTTCCTGATGGTAAGTTAATTATTTCCCTATACGTATGAACAAATACATCAATGTATTGTACCTAGTTAAAATGTATGGCTTACTGTCTCAAAATAATCTGTAATATGACAATTGATAATCTTAAGTTGTGGTATTTAAGTAAACAATATACTGATGTCATCGATAATACCTGTTTTTTTCTCTCCAAAGGTTCTCCGCAAGAAAGAAAGAAAAAAAAACAGAATTAGTATAAAATGGACCGCCAGACAGGGTCTGAACTAGAAATTAATGTCACATGAACTCTCTACAAAATCTTTCATAGAAAATGAATCATACAATGGGTGTTTCAGGAATCAACTCCTGAGCGAGATATTAGCAAATATCTTTAACACAGGTCAAATGGAAATCCAATCATACAAATGACATCATTTGTACAAGATACGTTTGGAGACCGGCATAAGATAAATGATCAGTAAAATTTTTAAACTCACTTGCACGTAAAAATATTAAATTGCAGACGCATTTCGCCGGCTCGCAACTCCAGCATCCTCAGGCGACTCCGCCAATTTAATATTTTTACGTGCAAGTGAGTTTAAAAATCTTACTGACGTCATTTGTACTCTCTGTTTAACCAACTGTAATTGTAAACACTTATACCTTGTTTAGGATTTGGCTTTCAGATTTCCTGTTGCATGATTAGTTTTCGTCGTTAAAGTTTGAAGTATCAACACACTTGCATCAACATTTCAGTAGCCTATAGTTTCTCTTTCACTGATGCTCTTTAACCTTCATCAATCAACTTTTGCTCCTTGTTAACAGGTTCATATGAAGTTCTTTTCATGGACGGTTTCAAAAAAACGTTGAAACCCCACAAATTGACAAAATTCACCAGGAAAGATCAAGAACATTTTCAGAAGGTATTAGAAATCCATCATTATGTATCTCTGATAAACAGTCTCTCATACATTTTTTTTATCGATAATTCAGAAAGAAAAAAGAGGAGTTTTAGAAATGTTTATGAGGATTTTAGTGGGGAAGTCAATAAGTTTTAAGTTTTATACATAATACTTTTCTCCCTACCTGCTGATCAGAATTTCTATGGAATATTAATTAAACACTCATCTGTGCTACGGTATGTAATCTTCCCAAAAATCTCGAAAGAGAGTAGTGGAATTGTGACTTCGAAAAAAACGCTGAGCCTGCTTTTTTGTGACCACCTCTTTTTCACAAAATTGTATTTCTTCGAGGCAAGCGCTGTTTTGCAAAGCAAAATTGGTAATCTTCTAATCAAAACTATTTAAAAAAACCCTAACTTATCAAGAAACAGACTTTTACGATACTGATGAAATGGAATTCGAATTCTCCCATTCATACTACTCCTAAAACTACACTTTGTGAAAATAAATTAATGGAGGCTGATCTACAATTTGCAGCCATCATATTATTTTTATTGTTCCACATTTGAGGATAAAGAACAAGTAACCTCAGATCTACACTCTCAGGTGCCAATGCCACTTGATGCATAGTAGCATCAATATCAATAATCTAAAAATTTACCTCTTTTGCAATATTAAATTGCAATGTGAGAGGTGCCAGCTCTTTATACTTATTTAATTTGAGCTTTCATATTATTTCTTGGCACTTGGCTGAGGGTATTAGAAAGCTGTTTTTGAATCCATCTTTTCATTTGAACAGCTCTCTTCATCTTATATTTTTTTATTTAACATATTTTGTTTTTCAACATATTGTCAATTCTATTGCCAGATTCAATCGATGCACTGAGAGTAATATACTTCCTTTGGAATATTTTCCACGGAAGAAAAGGAAAGAAATGAAGAAAAAAAAAAACATTGATTAATTGTGTGAAAGGAGCTTGAAGCTGGAAGTACGTTACATGCAGTTTTCCCTCCACAAATTGCAGTGTGGAAAATCAGTTTTGTGAAACTCAATTTTAGTGAGAAAGATTTTAAAGAAAAATATTGCAAAATTCAAATTAAATCGGAGCAAACCTTAACGTTTTACAGCATGAATTAATTTTGAATCTTGGATTCTGAGGGACGCAAATCTATGTTCTGGCTTTCGGAAAAAGTACCAAATTTTTGGTTATCAGTTTTTATGAAAGAAAACTCTAATGAAAATTTTGCAAAATTATGCCACAGAGGAGAGATAAACTTTCAAAAAAACCACAAAATGTGTTTTACAAATAAATAACACCATACCATAGAGGGTTGAAATTATTGTAGGGGGTACTAAATGATCAGAGAATTTATTTTCATGAATTACTGTCATTGTCAACATTTATCTCGATGTTTACAGAACTACACGCAGACAATACCCTCAACACCGCCAATTGTCATACCAAGCGCGCCCTTTGGCTCAGACATGTTATCCAAAGAGGAACGTCGCAAACGGAAACGCAAGCTCAATGTCAAAGACCTCTTCACGGACCACCGTAAAAAAACCAAACAAGATGACTCCTTAGTAGTAAAGAAAGCGGCAGGTGATGAAGCTAGTTTAAAAATGGTCATCAGCAGGAAGAAGCCTGATGAATCAGTTGTGATGAACTCACCTCTCGAAAACAGTGCGAGTCAGATGAACTATTCATCTCTTGTGACTGCAACGCCACCGAGTAATAACAGTCCAATTGAAGATGAGAGTTCTGATGGACACAAGAGAAAACGAATTAAAAATAGGAAAGCTGACTATGATTATGAAACCAGTACTTTTGCATCCACCAAGAAGTCTGCAGATAATTCTGCACAACCAATTCTGTACAGTGCCAAACCAGCGGCTGTAAGGCAGCCACTACCCTCCGATGGAGCTCCTCCTAGTGAAGGTATTATTTATATCTTGCACATCTCTGTATCTATTTATATCGATCCAAAGAAAGGTCATCAATAAGGGCTGTTCTTGGGCCCATCCTCAAATCCACAAGGTTTTGCTCATTGAAGGGTTATATTTTACGAAATGCATCATGATTTGGTCGTTTTCGGTCCTTATAGGGTCTACCACTCGCCTAAACATGGGATTGAAGGTTGATTTTGGCTATAAATTCAGGTTTTTGGCTGAATGCTGAAAATTCTGCGTTTCTCGCCAAAGTTGGCCTTCTGACTCCCATTCAGACCAATATTAGACCTAAAAAGAGACCAAATTTTGATGTTTTCCGTAAAATACAAGCCTTCAGTGAGCAAAATATCGTAGAATTAAAGCAATTCAGCTAGGGTGGACCCTTTAATGGACCTTATTGATACTCCTTATTCATTAACGCTTGCTACAGCTCATTAAGAAAAATGTAGAAGAATTGATCATTGCTTTATTCTGAAAGATTTTATGTATGAAGGGGGAAGTGGTCACTAACATTTTGCTCATCTTAAAGGTTATTATTAGATATTTAATTTACTCCTATATCTGGTCTAAAGTGAGTACAAAAGAGCAAAATGAGCTCATGCTCTTTTCACAAAAATTTCATCTACAGTGTTTTTAAATGAAGAGCTAAGCACCAATTAAACAGTGAAAGATGCAGCATAAAAAATTAAAAAGTTATGAAAAACTTTAATAAAAATTTTCCAAAATAAAGCAAACGAAAATTGGTCACTGCAGAAGGTGGCATGTTTACTAAAAAACGAAAAGGGTCTCCTGCCTCTGATATTTTTGCACTTTTAAGAGTTTTCTCTTTGAAATCTAAGAGTTTTTTAATTTTTTTTTTCTACAGGTAATGAATCTGAGATTTTTTTTTTATGTATTTCTACTCAGCAATGTCAATATAATCGTAATTCCCTTTTTTTCTTTCTCATTTTAGTGCCGTATCAAAGAATTCCAAAACTGGTTATCGATAATAAATTGCCACCTGGTTGGTCGAAATACTGTGTTCTGAAGAAGTGTGGAACCAAGTATGATGTTTATATTCAGAGGTGAGTACTAAATTTACGTATGATATGTTCATATTTATGTTAACAAAATGTAAAACGGTTTGATTTTTCCACAATGTTGGAACCAAACGAAGAATCAACAGAAATAATTTTGATGTACTGACTTAATTAATGAATGTTTGATGATTTATAAAAAATGTGCATTTGTCTTCATGTATCACAATACCAGAATTCGGTGGAAAGCCTTTTATTTTTCTCATTCTCAGTTTTCTCCAAAATTCAAGGTATTCCCAGTTGGCCCTTATTAAATTTGCGTGTGAGAATTTGTTGATAACAGTTTCTCTAGTCTCCTTTGTATCTACATGTTTTTGATCAATTTTGCTTTTATTTCATCAAGTTGGTATTGAATTACAGCTGACTGAAAATTGATTTTATCATTTTTAGCAGGCAAACACCGTTTATACAGATACCACTTTACTTTCAATGATAGTTTTCAGAATTGAAGTAAATTTACTGTCTTCATAGACAAAAAAAGAGAACTATCCGAGAGTATACTGGATTCTGTTTTGAAAAGCCCAGATTCCAGCAAAAGGGTTCCTCTTTTCTTTTCATCTCCTCGTTTTAGGTTCATATCTCACTGTTGGAATTGTCGAAGGGAGTATTTAATGCTCCTCAATTCTATTCTTCTCTCACCCTTAAACTGGCGTATTCATGCTGAAAAAAAAATTGTGCAGATGGATATACTTAAAAGGAACAGTGTAGCACACAAACCCAGAGGACTTGTTTCCTTTTGATTCAGTCCATGTACTCATAGTTTCTTGGAGCATAAATACATCCATGAAGGAATTATGCGTTTGCTCGTGATACTCTCATCAAGTAATACTCACTTTGTCAAAAATACAATTGAAAAGTAACGTGAGTCTGTGATTTTCAGTCCTGAGGGGCGAAAGTGCCGATCTAGAAATGAAATCCAAGCAATTTATCATGAAAAAGGTGAAGTTTGGCCCATGGAAAAGTTCGACTTCATGCTTGGAGAGAGCAGCAAACGAAAATTCAAGAAGAAACATCGAAGAGACAGGTATGTTTTAATTTATTTATTTTGCTTAGTTTATACCGCATTATAAGTCACATTACAGTGAGACCAGAGTTGAATTTTTAACACTTGTTAGACATTGCCAATTCCTATTCTTCCCTAGAAGTAGACTAAACTGATCATGAAACCAGCAAATTTAAATGTGCTTTGCTGTGTTGTGGAACTTTCTCCCACTTCTCTTTTCTTCTTCTTTTTCTTTGGACAAAAAACTACCAAGACATATTTGTATGAAATATTAAAAGTCTTAAAGGCCAAGAAAAATTCCTCCTAATTTCATTAAAAAGTACCAAATGAGGCTATGAGAGAAGCCCTTCATAATCATCAAATCAGGGACAAAATGAGAAGACAGGTGGTGGCTTAAATCTTTGTCATTTTGCCAAAATTTATAACTACATGAACATGTGAGTATTGTACACGTGAAATTTAAATTGGTAGTACAGTAAAAGTTTGTTAAGTCGAACTACGATTAAGATGAAAATCCGCTTAAGTCGAAATTTTCTTCAGTCCTGCGATGTTGCATATGGAACAACGTTAAAAAAACTACGCTTTAGACGAATTCGCGAATTTTTGAGCCGGGTGGAAAGCCGCTTATGTCAAAGTTTTTTTTTCGAAAAATCCGGATTTTTACAACGAAAAACACATAAATGCGCAATATAGATGGGAGAAATGTAGAAAAGAGATTCGTTGCTACGTACCTGTATACACGAAGGGAGTATAGAAGTGACATCCGTTGGTTGTTATGTCCGAAAATTGAATTTTTTTTATGCTTGGCGTTGACACTTGACACTACGGACCACTAACTTCACTCATTGCGTCATAGAAAACACTGATTTGACTAAATTGCATTGATTTGGCTTAAAACCTAAAATTAAAAAGAGTAAAAAGTTACAAAGAGTAAAAGTTAAAAAGCGTTAAAAAGTTAAAAAGAAACAAAATCACTTAAAGAAATCGTTTATTTTTAACTGCTTGTGGCGATTTATCATTCCGGAAATGAGCAGAAACGAATAACTTGAATTGCCGCTTAAGTCGAATTTTCCATTGGTCCCCAGACAATTCGACTTAACGAACTTTTACTGTATAATCAGTATTAAAATTCTGCTCTTTGCCCTGCGTTTATACTGGAATGTATGTTTTCTCATTCACGTTTTATTGTGATATGAACATTTTCTCTCAAATTGCAGTCAAGGCAACATATTATCGGTGAAGCTACCGTTTCACAAACCAGAGAGTTCGCTCAACAAGACCCCTCTTGGAAGTTCCACCCCTGTTTCCACGCCTATCGATCCTGGACGCAGAATAAAAACTCTGCTCCCCAAAGCGAAAATAGTTGAACCTGCACCTGCTACACCTGTTGCGCCAGTACCTGCTGTGGTATCCACTCCGATCTCAAGTAAGCATTTCAGATCTAGATCTTCATACCTCTTTCAGAAGCTCTCAGTAACTGCAGGCACCTGTTCACGGATGTATCCAAAACCAATGATTCTAATTGCTGTGCTTTTGTTTGAAACATCGAGACCTTCATTCACAGATGTATTGTAAACTGATAATGGCGTTAGCTTTACTTTAATTCAAGCCAGCCATCAAAGTAACTTTTCACAAACAGCTTTTCACTTTATCATCTGCATTATTAACAAAACTTTTGAAGATACTTTAGAACAAAACTTTAAAAATGTTGGTCTCATAGATTCGACTTTTCAAAATTTGTCTCTAAAAGAGTGCTTCGCTATTTGTTTTTAAGGAGCTGAGAAACCTTCAATTCCCTCAGAACCTCACTGAAAAAAGAGAACCTTTTATCAAGACCCTTCTATAAATTATTTTTAATATATTTCTCTCTATTCATGTTATTATATTTCTCTCTATTTATGTTACTATGTGTTTGGCCAGGCTCAAGTGAATCAGGATCTGCTGCAGGAACTGGTGGAACCTCTGGTGCCTCGGCAACAACTGGCAGCGGGGGTGCTGGATGCATCTGTCCCATCCAGAATTGTGGCAAACTGTTCAGGAGTGAAAACTACTTGGCGGTAAGTAAGCTTTCTCAACTGTGCTATAATTTACCCGGTTAATATTCATTGACAAGAGCAGAAACTCTGACCTTGATTCTAGCCAAGTTGCCTTAAATGAAAAATTGGTGGGTATGGGAACTGCGGGAATGGGCCTGTTGCAAACTCTTGCCAGAGCAAAAATAAGAGTCGTTTCTAATGGATTAAAAATCACAATAAGCGCATCGGTAAACTCTGAAATGCACTCCTAACTTCACCATCTGTGTAAGCAATTTGCGTTTTTTAAGATTCCTGCTCCAAAAAGGACACTTCAGCACAGGTGAACATTTCGTCAGAGGAGTTTTTCCGTTCAATCCCTGCTCAACATGGCCGACGCTTTCGCGTGCAAGTTGAGGAGAAGACGAGGTCAATCAAGGCGGATATTTAACAACGCGAGAAAAATGTGAATGTAAACAAGCTGATTGTTATCAGGTGGTTAGAATCATCGTCCCATCACATGTGTTTTGGCGAATTGGTGTCGGCTATGTTGAATATTGCGTAGTATCCTTGTGAGCAGCGGTTGGATGAAATGACTTCTCTAACGAAATGTTGACCTGTGCCGTGGTATTGTTTTTGAGGCAGGAAGCTCAAAAAACGCAAATTTTTAACGGAAATTGTAAAGTAAGGAGTGCATTTCAGACTTAGCCAATGCGCTCATTGTGATTTTTGAGACACTTTCTATGAGTAACAACTTTTATTTTTGCTCTAACAAAAGTTTGCAACATGCCTGTTCTGTCAGATTTTTTCAAAATGTTCTTTTTTAACAATGTATTAGTGGTAAAAAAGTCCAATTTTTTGGAGGTGAAGGTTTTTTTTTTTTTATTAGGCCTCTGGAGGAACTAATCATGAATTTTGGCTAGAAATGGAGGGCGGTTGGTTAAATTTGAAGGAAGGCTTGGAACTGTCTGTTCCCCTTTGATCAGTGAATTTCACTGTACAAACTGATCACGGTTCAACGCACAAGTTGTTCAGACAGAAAATGGGTAATTTTGCCAATGTGTGTTAGAGCTCAAAACTGAAAATCTCGATACAGAGGGAAAAAGCTTTTCAAGTACAATTTTTCCCTTTAAAGAGATGCGCTGTTTATTGCTGTGAATTGAAATTTTCACTGTTATATTGAACTCTGAAGCTTGTTGGCAAAATTACCAACTTTCTGTCCAATTTCACTGTCCTTATTATATTGAGGCGGCGATAGGTGGATAAAGGATTAATATCTAAAAAAAATAAAAAACTGTTTTGAAAATAATAAAAGTTCCAACAGAAATTTTATTTATAACTACCTAGAGTGGATTAAAAAACATCCATACTGATTTTAGTAGTTCTAATTATTTGTTTTAATAGTGTAATAAAAGTGTAATAGTGAAGTTATTAAGATAACCTAAGAGTTTTAAAAGATAGATCAAGGCTTTATTTTATTAATAGTAAACTATTGGGTCTGTTTCCAGATGCATGTAAAACATTACCATGCAGAGTACAATCAGATTCTAGGCACAACTCCCAATGTTGCTGATCTTGCCTATGCCCGAACTGTGGGTCAATCTATAGACGATGTGTCTCCATCGACATCCTTTTTGGATAAATTGAACCAGCTCGAGAAGCAGAAAGCAGCTGCCTCTCAATCACCAGCATCTGCTGTGTCTCCCCAGTCAGTGGTTTCAATCCCATCTCCATCTCGCAAAAAGTAAGTTAACCTCTCCTCTGCCTCGATTTTTCAGTGTTTTCGTGTTCTGACCATTTGGCTTTCTATGTTTGGTTAGAAAATCATGTACCGTTTTGTCATAGTCTCCTCACCACAGTTCCCTAACCTTTCATGTTTTCAAAGTATCCTAGTTCAAGTTCTGAACAAAGTTTTGGAAAATCAAGTGTCCCAGCCTTGATGTTGGAAAATGTTTTAAATTCATAGACAACTGTCTGTCTTTTTATTGAAGGTAGAAGAATATACTCTTGCATTGTTGAAAAGTGACAAGTGAAAATTTAGTGCAAGGTAAATAGGAGTTTAACCTCCCTTTCGTTCCTCATTTTATGTTCATTCATGAGACAGCACAATTAATGGGAAGAATTTAGGAGCATGAAGGGGGTTTTGATCCATCGATCATCTCCTTGCAAAAACGTTGAAACGAGTCGACAATTTTAAGGGATATAAGTATGACTCATTGTACATATTTTTCAGTTACTGTTCAGGAATAATTTTTTCCCCTAGAATTCTAGGTTATGATGGTTATAAAAATATGTAATACCCCTTTTCAGTGTTTACAGTCGTACTTTTTGAAGGTTTGAGAATTTTATATGTATGTCCAGCAGTATTTTTTTTGGGGCCATTTTCTTTTTTTTCAATTCCTCACAAATCATGATTGATGCTCTCAAATAATAGTAAATTTTCCTAACCTATATCCTGTTTCAATTTTTTAGTAATTATCTCAAGGTCAAACAGTCTGACATCGTCATGTGATTGAGTTAAGATACAAACTAATGTATAAGGACTGAGAGATACATTCAGTGCATCATCCTTCCTTGTCGATTAACTTGGATTTTTCAGCATAGCATAATTTCAAGCATTTTATAACTGAGCGGTGGTTTACTCTCGTCGACCCTCTTTAAATCTTGCTCCCTAATGAGCAAGAAAGATTCCTACTCACACCATTTGTATTATTTTTTACCCCTCCTCAGACCAGAGAACGAAGTTAATGACGAAAGAATTCTGATTACGGATGAGAGAAAAGTTATACCTCCGCCGCCGAGAAGAATCTCAGAACCATGCCAGTGAGTAATAAAACATTCCCTTCAAGTTTAAATTTTCGTCTGTTTAGCTATTCATAGCAAGTTTCTGTAGCGTTTTTTTCCTCCTTTAAATTGTGAAAGTACTGAATTCAACAGGTGTACAGGATTTTCCAAATTTCTTAATTTGGCCCCTACACATTTTTCTTCCCCTCTTCAAAGCCATTATTTTCTTTCATCCGTACCTAATACCTTGTGTTCTTTGGGATTGTGTCTCTCTTTTTTTCTCCATTGAAATTTGACCTTTTCTCTTCTTCATTGTTTTTATTAGTGAATTTCTTTTCTTTGCTTTTTAATTTTGTTAAATGTATCTGTGATGTTTCTCAGAGCACGGCTCCCAAAAATCACCTCAATTTTTGGCACATACAATTGAAAATACTGTGTATTACTGCTACTGCCTCCAGCAGCAAAAATAGAGAAAGAGTATACTGATCATGAAACTAAAAATACCATGGTTTTAAATACCTGCTCTTACTTCTTGACAAAGGAAAAGGAAAGGAAAATAATATTACATCATCAGAAATATTAAGACACAGAGTTTCCTGGTTTCTTGATGGATGAATTCAATTTAGTATTAAATGTGCGCTTGTTCGGAATGTTTTTTTCGTTTTCACTTTTGATTGATCAGAAAGCCCTTTGCTCATTGCCCCTTAAGCTTAAGAGATTAAGTATTTTTTTTTTATGAGGCAAATTATGGGGTATTTTCTTTGATATCGCCAAAAGGAGTTTGTTGTGCGCTGCAAGTTGCCAAAAAGTGTTGGAGCTTGTTCTTTTTCCCCAGGTGATATGCATTAGCACTTACTATTCCTCTCTAATTTTTCCTTTGCGAATGGCTGTTGCCTTTTCTGAGTGAATTATGAATGCGCCCCATGTTTTGAGCAAGCAAGGAGATTTGCCCTCTCATCATTTACATGAATTTTGTTCTCATTATACACTTGGGCGCATCACACAGAAGTAAATATCGATGGCTTAAGTGCGAAACTACATATCTCCATTGCAATGTTTCAAAATTTCCACTCCTATTTTATTTTTTCGAAGAGAAACAAGCTAACTTTATAAATTGAAATTTAATTTGAACACTCCGCCAACAGAGAAGACAAATAAAGGAATTTTTCAAGAAATTACATTGACTAGTTTTCCAAAGAAAAAATGAAGTATGACAGGAAGTCTGCAACGTCGCAAACGGAAATATGTGGTTTTGCACTTCTGCCATCGACATGATTTTGAAGTTAAAGACTGTAATTAATTAAAACTATTTTTCAGTCTGTTTCTTTTCAAAGTTTGAAAAGAGGTTTCTTATCGTCTGAAACATCTAATGCATTTGCTGGAATTGCCTTACGCTTTCTCAAAGGTCACTTGATAAAGAAAATATTTAAAACTAGAAAGTCCCTCTGATTCTGTATTTATCATTAATAATATCATGTAATTTTTTTCAGGTCAATAAAACCTTGCAGTAATGATTCGCCTGATTCGGAGAATAAAGAGCCCACGGTCCTCAGCCTAGAACCATCACCTCCAGTACCGGCAGAGCCTGATTCTGAAAGATACACGATGAATGGTATTGCGAAAAAACAACCAATGGCAGCAGAAATTCCCAAGAGACGAAGGTTCAGCAAATGTAAGTGGTTTTCTTATGTAATTCTGATAAAAGTTCTTTTTTTCATGATGACTAATCATTTAGCTGGTGTCAAATTACCTGCTGGCAATTTCGTATGCTATTAGAACTGACCTACCAGAAAGACACCATACTTCTATGATGGGTGCTTTAGCTGATGTTTTTTCCGACCAAGTGAGCTATTTTCAGTAAAACAATCTTCTTGAGTGCTATTATGTTTTGTTTCCTGAGGTTTCTGCCATAAATTTAGCTGAAGTTTTTGGAACACCTCCAGTTGTGCCTATGATAGGAGGAGGAAGAATGATCTTGGTTGATGATATATTATTACCATTAAGCTGGGTCGATAGCTGGAGGATCATAAGTTTGAATGGCATGCTATGTTTCGCTGAGATTAGCTCAATGCTTTTAGCTTTCATTCTCGCTAAATTTTGAGATCGCACATCTGTTTTCTTGAGACTAAAAAATTCACCTTTTAATAAACGAATTGATATATTTGTAAGTTCCCAGACAACCAAAATGCGATCTCAAAATTCAATGAGAAAAACAGTTAGCAGAAAACTTTGAGCTAATGCATGTGGTGTATCGCATGTTGTTCTGACTCATAATCCTCCAGGCATCCAATCACCAAAACGACAAGTTGTGTTAAGAAACTATGTAATGATCGCAACATTTTTTAGAGTTACCATTACATTATCACAAGGTGTCAGTTTTTCCTATTTGTTTTTATTTGATAATTTTCAAGTAGGATGTACCTCAGACTGTGTCCAAATGTCAAGTATTGCTTTCAGCTTCAATAGGTAATTAATTATTAATGTACAATGAATTTCAATTGTGATTTTATTTTTCATATCCTCAGATGGCAGTAGTTCCTTGGATGGTGACAGTGCCAGTGTGTCAGGAAAAACTGGAAAGAAACGAACTACATCCACGAGTAAATCATCCACTGTGTCTGATTACAATGGTAAGAAAATTGTTTGAAATCCTCGATTTAAAGCTAATGATGGATAATTATTATTCATTATGTCTCCGCATGAGCGGTAATATTGATTGATAATTGAGGTTCCGACTTTAACACTCAGCAGCTTTTTTCAACTCTGGTAAATCTTTGACCACGAATCCCACGTAAACATTAAAAGCGTTAAAAAATTCAGAATTCATCGCTTTGATACAATGGAACACTTGACAAACTAAGAAATCAAGCATTACAAGATACATACCTCATCAAACTGTAATGCAGAGAGCGTTGAACAAGTTAAAAAAATCCTAAAGTCAATTGAATAATTACAATTGGTTTGTATGGTTAACATGAGAATCAGTAAACACATTCTTCAACCTTATGAAAAAATCTAAATCAACATATCGATGGCCGAAGTTCGAAACCACATATTTTTGTTTGTGATGTTGCGCACCTCTTGTTATAGGTTGTTTTTCCCTTGCCTTTTTTGGATATGCCATCGTGGATACGTCAAATTGACCATCCAAAACTAATTTATATCATTCGACTAATGACTTGTGTCGGATTCCTTAAAAATCCTCCTTACCCTGATGCGCAATGTTAGTAAACTTGTGTACAAATTTCATTTTACTACAAAAGATTCTAGTAGCTGTCAATATCATTTACTCCAATTGCCTCACTCCTTAAATTCCTTTTTTCCTTACTTTTGCAGAGAGTTCTCTTGATGCCTCCGAGTCAGGAACAGAAAGTAGCAGTGTGATCGTCTCAAAGATTGAGCAGTTAAAGAAGGAAGAAGTGATAAACTGCACTTGTGGCTATAAAGAAGAGGATGGTCTTATGATTCAGGTATTCAATCAATCCTTTTCACGGATATTTCATACTGGAAAATTACAGTTGCTGTGATATGGTTGTGCCTCCTGCTCAATCTAAAAATGTATTCGTTGATTGAACGCCTCACAGTCCAATCCCCGTAAAGTGCATCATGCATTAGGCATTATGCGTCACTCGTATGATATCATATCATGGAGTAAGATACAGTAAATGACGCCTCATTTGTTGCATTTTAGGCTGTTTGATTTAGCTAAATTTTATTTCTAAACTTGTGTCTTTGCCGTGTTAAGTAACTCCGGTGATCTTTAGTTGAAATAAAGTCATCGCATCTGATGGGAATACTTGTCAGTGGCAAATCTCTTTTGTAAGGAAGAAAAGCATGTGATTTTCATTTCTATGAGTTTCTTATCCAGTGGCAGCCAAATTGCTGATCGTGTAAAAAAGATGAGGCCTTGCCTCTGCGGAATGTTTCTGCAAAATTGGTTGCCTGAAAAAGTTGTTCAAATAAATTTTATCATAGAATCCTAAAGAATAATATGAATAAATGAGTCATGTGAGACTGATATGAAAAAATAAACGATGCGCACAGAAATAAAAATATTAAATTGCAGGGATTATGTTGTAAAATTGAACTGAAGTGAGAAACGCTTATGATGTTCTTTGTCCTATTCTACAGAGTTATCCACAACAATTGTAATTTTTGTCTCTTGTACAAATTACATATTTATTCGCGCTATCTCTTAGGATTTGTACTGTTGGTCAAAAGATTTCATTCCAACTTTCCATTTAACTCTCGAATTTCAACGAAAAGTCGAAAGTGTCTTCCAATTTAAGTTTCCGTTCAACTTTTCATACGAATGTTGAATTCTTGTGTAAATATTACCCAATCAAACTTTTTATCTGATCAAAGCAGGAGAAAAGTAGAACAAAAAGTTAACTGTCTAGATTGGGCTTTAGACATTTTCAACACATTTGCGTACTCTAGTTACTTTTTATTCAGAATTAATTCTCATGACAAAAATGTTTCAGTGTGATTTATGCCTGTGCTGGCAGCATGGTCATTGTAACGACATTGAAACAGAGGATGAAGTTCCTGAAAAGTATATATGCAAGATTTGCTTGAATCCAGCAAAACAGCGACTATCCAGGAAGTACACTTACAACCAAGACTGGCTCAAAGAAGGAACGCTGCCTAGGTGAGTGCAATTGAACACGTGTGTTTTTTTCAACTCATGCAGATGCAAGTGAAAGCAAACTTATCTATTTAAACTCAAACGATTGTATGAAACGTGAATATATACTCATTTCATGAATGAATCGGCAACACATTCTGAAAATGTCATCTGTAATCCAGGGTATCTACAAGTCCGGGAAGTCCAGAAATAGTACTGATTTTTCAAGGGCGGTCTGGAAGTACCGAAAAAGTGCGGAAATTTTCCGCAGGTCCGGAATTTTTTCATTTTTTTGTCATTTTTGTCGCAATTTGAGCAGGAAATTCAAATGTTTAAAATTTTTCGAATTCCATAAATTGGAGGTACTGAAAAAGTACTGAATTTTTCTATTGATGAGGTACTGAATCTCTTGGGAATGTATTGAAAAAGTACTGGAAAAGTACTGATTTTTGACCAGCCTGTTTTAGTAGACACCCTGGTAATCACAATAGGATTTTGTAAAGCAGACAATGGTTTCAGCCAGCTAATGAGGCACTGTAAGAATAACAGAGTTAGATATCTTCATGAAATACGAAACGCTGAATTTTAGATTTTTTGACCCCCTCCCCCCTCACAAGACTAACACAGTAAAACCACATGCCTTGCCAGGAAACAATGTATTTTGTGAACAGTCCAAATCAATTTTTAGATTCTGATTTATTTTAATCTTGTTTTTTTTATTTCAGGTTTTCATTTAGACCCAGAAATAATCCTGAACTCGTTCATCGAGAGTCCCTGTTGAAAAGATCTCATAGTGTTACCGCCACATTAGTTCAATTAGAAACTGTCCTGCATAGCTTACAAGCTAAAATTAATGTCGCAGAGTAAGTACCGTAAATGCCATAGTATAATCCAGAATATTTTTTACTTTTTTCCTCCTTTTCTTTATTTCAAGGATTTCGCAGGATACGAAGTTTAGTTCTCTGACCGAGTGTGATCTGCTGATGAGGTCAGGAACCCAACCTGAAAAGGACTGAGGATTGATTTGAACAAATATGTATCAAAATTCATCTACCTCAGCCCGAGCAGTTTCTTTTTTTCTCCATTTTGTTTCATGCATCGAGTGTCAAAAAACATTATTTTAAATTATACTGACGTAAACTCAGGTCCTATCTACCTCTCTGCCCTAAGTGTAATTAGGCACCTTCACACTAACAAAATCTGCTCTTCTCAGAAAAAGTGGATAAGTTAGAATTCCATTGAATTGAATTATTTCAACTAGAGAAAAAATGGCAAAAGTAAAGAACAAGAACAGTATGTTATTGTAATAGTTGAAGCCTCTTCCTTGCAATATGCTAAATCTGTTTTTTATTTGGTTGATTTTTTTTCTTTTAGAAAAACAGATCATCCTAAGTTATATCTGTGGTCCAAACCTTGGAATGAAGATAAACTGAGCAAAGAGAAAGTAAAACAAGAAATTAAAGAAGAGCCCGATTTAAATTTTGGCGAAGGAGCGCCACTTGCCGCAGGTAAGATTTATTGCACAATTTTTCAGTTTTGTATCTTATTCGATTAGTCTTAGGTGGTACCAAAATTTTCTCCGAGTGATGCCAGCTTGCGGCTAATTGTTGCATCAACCCCTAAACAAACGCTTATCCACAGAATCGACATTAGAGCAATGTCGCCTCTCTCCACGAGAAAACTCAGGTATTAATGCTAAAAAATTAACTTTTTAGCTTCCATCTCGAAATTGGCGCATGGAATGGAAAATTCCTGAAGCTTGTTGTCTGCAGGAGGTCGCAAAAATATCATGTGATAAAATAACAAAATCCAGCTAATGTGGCATTCCATTGTAATCAGTATATATATTTTTTTTTTTTTTTTAAAAAAATGAGGTGAATTCTGTTGTCAAACTTTAAAAACTCATTAGTTCACGCACATTATTTCAATGAGGAACAATTGTTTCGGCGCTTCGCTCCATCCTCAGCTCTCGTCGTGACTGTGATCAGAGAATAAAGTAAAGCTCCGAAACAATTCTCCGTCATTGAAATAAAGCGAGTAAACTATGTAAGAAGTTCTTAAAGCTTGATGAGTGGGTTTGCCTTTTCTAGTTTAAAGTTTACTGTTTTTCAATGAATATCTTCCTGAACACCATTTGCTTCGGTTTTAAGGCACATTTCATGTAGTAAGGGCTCCTTAGCTCTCACAGTAGAAATTTACTTTACATCACATCTTATCTCATCCATTTCATTCTGTAATAAATTTTCAGGCAACATCCCTGGTCCTGAACCTGAAGCTCCCATAGATCCAATCGAATGTCGGCAAAGGCTGTTAGACCACATCGATAACTACCAAAATCAGGTCGAATCAAGACTTACTTCTTTAGAGGCGCAAATAGCTGGTGAGTCATGGCTACGAATAACCCCCTTTCATTTAGGTCATAGTCTGGTATAGATGATATTTTTACTCATCAAATCTTAGAAAAATGTACCTTTATCAGCTGCTCAGGGATTATTTTTGTATAATAAGTGAATTTTTGCCATCGATGGTATGATCAAGAACGTCCACTTAAGTAAGCCCAAGATACTAATTCCTTTCAATGGAAGTTTTGATTTATCCTGTTAGCAGCAGTCAGAGTTGTGTTCTATATTTTTGAATTTTTTTGCCCAAGGTGAATTCAAAACTGATTGGATCGCCAGGCAAAGTATGAATTTAAGCCTTTAGGTCAGTATTTCCTCTTTTGAATTTGGCTTACGACACAATGGACCACTAAACAAGGTACGAATTTAAGCAATCTGATACATGTTTCTTAACCAGATTTCACGTAAAACACGATTCGCGCAACGAAAATTACTGAAACTAACTCCTAACGAAGATATTATCGTTTTTATTTCACATTGGTTACGAGGAATTTGAACTGCCCGCTCTCAAGAAACTCAAAGCTCTACGAGAGTCAAATCGCTCACTACAACGGGTTCAGAAAGCTTCTCAATCGAGCAATGTTCATTTCCCACCATGTGTTGTTCAAACTATAGGTAAGCAATTTGCTATAGCTGAGCCAAAGCGTCAAGATTGAGGTTGCTAGATTTTTATATAGCAGAGGCTTTCATAATAACATTCAGCGCGCGATGTGAATCACGTAGAGAATTGAGTTTTCATGAGCGGATGGTTTGAATTGACGTATCAAGAATCGTTAAATATCTTTGGAAGGAGTTGAATTCGGTAATTTTCGTTGTGCGCGTCGTATTCTACGTGAAATTTTAGTTACGAATCATGTATCAGAATGCTGAAATTCGTACCTTGTCCAGTGGTCCATTTTCTCAATGAAATCCACCGAAATTCACTTCAAGAAGATATTAAGTACCGTTTTTATTCAGCATTGGTCACTTTAAATTTGAATTTCCTGCTCATCAGTAAAATGAGAATCTACTTAATGCAGATTATGCACTACGAAGGTTTTTTCACAGGAGGCGTTTCAATGAACAGTGTTTCCTCTCCGCCTTGTCATTTAAAATTTTAATAACAAGCATCAGCTAATCCGAAGTGTCGATTTTGAGGTTATCATATTTTCATACTGTCAAGACTGTCGCGGTAAAATTTAGGGTACGATTCAATTCGTGTTTATTATTGTTGTGAAACTGACATTAAAACCTTTTCGATTCTTTCAGCACTAGAATCCGAAGATCCTGACTTGGCCAATGATGAAACTCCAGACTTCTATCCACAAACCAAGCAAACAATCCAGATGGTGATGAAAGATCTTCAGACAGTTCGTCGGATCGCAACTCTCAGCTGATGCCCCCAATTTATTGAACTCTAGTTTTCCTCTTCTTGTAGCTCTTCCACTGTTTCAATTTATTAATTTTGTTAATTTAGTATTTTCTAAGTAAAGGGTTGGTTTTCCCCAACTCTAGTTTAAATACTGCTTCTGTTCAGAGATAAAATGCAAAACTATTGATCTAAAAGATACCCGTCAGTTTTAGTTACAGAGATACTTATCAGGCACACTAACTAGAGTTGGTGAAATCATCGCCTTCCTGACATAAGAGCATAACTACATTGTAGGGTGTCCCACTTTGAGGGTCACCTCCGAATTTTGATGATGGTACCCTCTAAATCGTTGACCCCACTTATAAAAATAAGATTGCACTAAAGAAAAAAATTCTAAAAAATTTTTTAAGGGTTGCGCACGGCCAAAAACTACCCCCCGGAATAGGGCAAAATGCAGAATTTTGTCCATTTTGACGATTTTTTTTAACAACATTGTAATTGAGCTAGGGCTCTGAAAATTTCACAGTAAGAGCATATGTTAGGGCACTTTCAAGAAAAATTTTTGTTCATTTCATCATGCGTTTCCATTTTTTGCTAAAAATCCTCAAAATCGGCTAAAAACCCGAGAATTTCAAGATTTTGTATTCTTGTCTTACGACGATTTTTTCATCTTACAAAGTTAAATTAAACATGTAAAGTATCATTACTTGCATCTTGATACTCATTTTGACCGAAATTCACACTTCACTTTAATAACCCCTCCCCCCTCCCCCGTATTTTTAACCGTAAATTCAGCGTTACCTAAGTCGCGATAGGTGCATGGGTTTTTTTTCCTTTTCCATTAAAGATTATATTTGTATTCATATTCCTGCATTTTAAATGTCGACGTAATGTTTCATTAAAGTGGTACTTACCTATGAAAAATGGGAGAGCATGATGTGAACTTTCTTTTTTTTTAAAAAAAAATGGATTGTATTTTTGAAAAAAAAAAAATAATTTTACTAAAATAATTGGGAATGGAGCCAAGCGCCAAACAATTAGAAACAACATCATTCCTTTCTTCTAAAATACTTTAACAGAAGCTCCGGAGGAAAAGAAGAAAAACTGAACTGAGTATATCTCAGAAAAAGGAGGTGAGTCTTCCAAAAAAAAGGGGCAAGGTGCCTAAACAGTAGAGGAAATGCATGATTACTTCCTCTTTGAATACTTAACAACTGACGCTTCAGCGATAACAACATGACAGTTCATCCCTCTGTTTTCGAAACTGTGGCTATATTTCGGCATGAATTTGATCCAACAGAAAGTGATTTAAAAGGTCTTCAAAAAGTTTGCTTATTCAATTTAAGATGTTTAATCTTTGCTGGTACAAATCTCAGCGTCCAATAATTGCCCTTCAAGATGATTTGTAATTTACAAAAAAGTTAGGTTACTTCGTATACTTCAGAACTTCAGAACTTCAGAACTACTACTACCTAGTGTACTTCAGAAAAACGAGTTTAGTCTTCCAAAAATAACTGGCAAGGTTATAGTGCGAGGCAAAAGGTGGCAAAAAACAGTTGAGGAAATGCATTATTCCTTTCTTTTTATGTACCTGGTAATGTTAGGTGGAAGTTTCATCAAAGAAGATCCTATAATTATTCATGTGATGCAATTTCTTCATTTTTTTGTTGTTTTGAAATCAACCATATGATAGGATGAAAATGTGTGTAATTCAGTGTCATTTTTCACTTGTTTATTGAGATAATAATCAATGCTCTCTTTAGTTACTAAAGCTTTAACTATTTTTCTTTTCATGCTATTAGAAATGAATTAATCAAAAACAGACAGAGGCTCCAACCTATCACTAAGATATCTGTATTGTCTTGAAAAAGTGGCCAATGTAGCCTCTGATACTCTCTTATCAATACTATTGTACTGAAGCAACTTTTTTGTAAATTGCAAATCATCTTGAAGGGCAATTATTGGACGCTGAGATTTGTACCAGCAAAGATTAAACATCTTAAATTGAATAAGCAAACTTTTTGAAGACCTTTTAAATCACTTTCTGTTGGATCAAATTCATGCCGAAATATAGCCACAGTTTCGAAAACAGAGGGATGAACTGTCATGTTGTTATCGCTGAAGCGTCAGTTGTTAAGTATTCAAAGAGGAAGTAATCATGCATTTCCTCTACTGTTTAGGCACCTTGCCACTTTTTTTTGGAAGACTCACCTCCTTTTTCTGAGATATACTCAGTTCAGTTTTTCTTCTTTTCCTCCGGAGCTTCTGTTAAAGTATTTTAGAAGAAAGGAATGATGTTGTTTCTAATTGTTTGGCGCTTGGCTCCATTCCCAATTATTTTAGTAAAATTATTTTTTTTTTTTCAAAAATACAATCTATTTTTTTTTAAAAAAAAAGAAAGTCCACATCATGCTCTCCCATTTTTCATAGGTAAGTACCACTTTAATGAAACATTACGTCGACATTTAAAATGCAGGAATATGAATACAAATATAATCTTTAATGGAAAAGGAAAAAAAACCCATGCACCTATCGCGACTTAGGTAACGCTGAATTTACGGTTAAAAATACGGGGGAGGGGGGAGGGGTTATTAAAGTGAAGTGTGAATTTCGGTCAAAATGAGTATCAAGATGCAAGTAATGATACTTTACATGTTTAATTTAACTTTGTAAGATGAAAAAATCGTCGTAAGACAAGAATACAAAATCTTGAAATTCTCGGGTTTTTAGCCGATTTTGAGGATTTTTAGCAAAAAATGGAAACGCATGATGAAATGAACAAAAATTTTTCTTGAAAGTGCCCTAACATATGCTCTTACTGTGAAATTTTCAGAGCCCTAGCTCAATTACAATGTTGTTAAAAAAAATCGTCAAAATGGACAAAATTCTGCATTTTGCCCTATTCCGGGGGGTAGTTTTTGGCCGTGCGCAACCCTTAAAAAATTTTTTAGAATTTTTTTCTTTAGTGCAATCTTATTTTTATAAGTGGGGTCAACGATTTAAAGGGTACCATCATCAAAATTCGGAGGTGACCCTCAAAGTGGGACACCCTACTACATTGCTATGAGCTCTGTTATCTATTCAATGTAATGTTTTTCCAGGATCATCCCAATGTGTAGTAATGCCCTTTTGTCAGCCAGGCGAAGAAATGGTCCCTAATCTACTCACTTGAGCATTGGTAGGATCAATGCTACCCGTTGTTTCAGCTTCCTCTCATTTAAAATAAAATTGTTCAAACAGTATTGTTTTATATTGTTGTTACCAAATACACATTGTGACCATTATTGGCTCACGCAAGGGTCTGTTAGTTTTTCTATAATTATTTAATTATCAAAATATATTTTGAATCGTCAAATCTTTTCCTCTATTTTTCTTTAATTTAAACTCTACCTCCAATTTTTACAACTGATATAGACTTAAAGTATTCAGAGACAATCTGTTTAGACTTAAAAGAAGTTTCCATGAGTTGGGCTGCTTTTGCAAAAAGAAACAAGTGGCATGGCAAATTTGCCGAGGTATTTAACTTCTAGGTTTACTTCAAATTAACTGAGAGTAGGTCTATGAATGACTCTTACAGTATAATATTTGACAAGTTTTTTTGGTAAATGTTAAAAATTTGTAAAAAGTTGTGGATTTTCTCAACCAGATATAAAGAGGTTAGGTTAGGCTTAATCTTTACGGCATTGCAATGGTCCGCAGTTTTGCTAAGTGCAGTCCAAACAGACGTCTTGGAATTATCTGTTGGATTATTACACAGACCTATGACTTTTTTATTCAATAATCGTAAATTGTGACCCTTTCGCTCTTGTCTTCATGAATAAAAGCGTCAATTCGCAATGAGACGACCAATTAAACTTAGCAAAACATACGAAAGTTGGAAAAAAAAATTGAAAAAACAGAATCATTTCTCATTTTTTTTCTTTTTTTACAAATTTCACAGTTATTCACAATGTGGAAAAGATGTAGTATAATAGATAGAGATAATGGATTAAGTATTCCAAGCTATTAACGGTGGATTAAAAAAGCTCAAATTGGAGAGATACAATGTAACTTTTTGTGTTTGAAGAGTGACCTTTGCTCAAAAAGTTCATGCTGAGGAATGAGGGTCACCTGGAAATTTATAGACCTGGAGAGGTGATGAATAAAGGAAATAATCTGATGAAAGTTTTATGAGCGAGGTGTATTGGTACTGTTCCCGGGTGCAATTGACATTTCCGCACAAGGTTCCCGCGTAGGACACTGAAAAAAAAAAAGAAAAAAGTATTTAAACCCCACCCGTCTTCAGTTAACATTTGTCTTGTGTAAGAGACAAGAGAAAATATGACAGAGCTGCCAGAAGAAAACAATGACTTGTTCGCAAACTAACTAGAGTAAATTTGAAAGAACAGATTTTATCCACTTTAATTTTCGTTCAGTGGCTTTACACGTACAAATGGTTACATGGGTTTTGGAACAAAAAAAGGGGTATCATGTTAGAGGTGGAGTGGTAATTGCCCTAAAAACTGTTACAATTCATCAAAACTTATTAACAAAGTCATTAAAACAAATCAGGAAAACTAGCACTTTACACGCGGAACTCCCTTACCTGTCAACGTCATGGCCGACCGCCAAAAATATCGTTTCAGATGGGTCCAGATTTTGACAACTTTAAAATCAATTTATTTGTCATTTTGAGTAAAAAAAATCCTAGAAAGTGACTGAGAGCTCAACTCAATGAGTACTTTAAAAAAGAAAAGAATAGGCGCCAATGAGTAATTGAACCATTTCACTGTACCACTTAAATTGAGATTCAATTCTTTGATTCGATTTCTACAAACCATTCCTAATTTTGAACATGTATTACTACCATAGCAAATTCTAATACCTAGAGAAATGTCTAAGAATAGTTGAGAGACCTTCTAAAAGGCATCTCAGAGTCGATGGCACACAAACCTTGACGTGAAGTTGAGACTTGAGAGTTCCAGCTCGCAAGATTAGCATAGCGGTGCGCCTTTGACATTCTTTCCCCATATTCATAGATTTTAAAAAAGTGCTACTCCTCTGATCAACATCTTTTGAAAATAGAATCTAAAACAAGTAAAAAAGAGAATGATTATAAATTGATCCTCCAAGGCAGAAAACAGAAACCAAATTTAGTGAAGAAACTGATCAGAATCTCTGTATGGGCCACTTATGCACTTCTCTAGGATAGAGATTCTAGAAAGGCAACAGGGGCATCGTTCTTCAAATAAACAGAACGCTTATAGAGATAAGTATTTATGCACTCAGCAGCCAACTGAACAATGAAGACAAGTTCAATTAAAAATCATATTATATGTAAAGGTTTCTGTCTTCCTATGTGTTCTACAACTTTTAAATGCAATCAGTTATTCATGACATAAATCATTCAATAAAAGATGTTTTGTTGAATTTTTCCTGACTCGATTTTTTCCATAATTTTTTTCCTCCTTACCTTATTCTGCGAGTCAATCCGTGCTTCGATCTGTCCATCTAATATGAGCTGCATCAATTCATCTTCCAGCTCTCCAACCGTTGTGTTGAGGGAAGCAGCCATTTTATGCATGTCAGCAGATAAATAAGGACTGAAAAAAAAAGAAAAAAAAATCACACATCACTTGCATAAGAAGGGTGATAGTGATGAAAATTAATTTGCAAGATATTGGAAAGTCTATGGTTACTGTAATGCAACAAATCGCAGAATTATACCGACGCAACAATACTGTTGTAACAGTTTAATCTTGAGATTAACATTGAGTTAGGCATTATTCTTATGAGACGAATAACACATCAAAATTTCTCCTCTTAGAAGGAAAGATCAAAAAGTTCTCCGAACTTCCTTGATGCAGCTTTGTAAATGACTGTATTGAGTTGATTTTAGGTGGTTTAGAAACCTGAAAACCTCACAAATTATACAGTATATTGGGTTTTCCTCTAGTTTGATCCAATAATTAACGGCATCATGTAAATTTGTGTCCTTCAAAAGTACCATTAGACTACGTAATGAGGTTACAGAGTACAGGAACAGAAAAGGAATGTTCAATAAAGTATTACATTGAATCCAAAAAATAAAAAAAATTTCTCAGCTTCAAGAAAACAAAAGCTGATGAAGTCGACGCCAAATAAATTTATGCACTATTAGACTGCGTCAGACGATCCTCTGTTGTAGTATAAAAGTACATTAACTTATTTAGCATGGACTTTGGAAAGGGGTTATCCTTTTGTATTGCGTTATACAGGGAAATCATTTTAAGTGCCATTAGAATTTGGAATATAAATGCTGGAGGAATAAAACGGAAAAATGAACGCACCTAAAATATTGAATAAGAGCACGGTTGCGGACTTGTGTGTAGAGATTATTGACATGTGGTGCAAGATACATGTCCAGGCAGAGGTTGTCTTTCATTTCATCCAGAAGTTTTAGACAAGACGCATACTTAGATTCATAAAACTTAAAAATCACATCACGCAGCTGAGGCTCCAGCTCAAGGAACAACTTGAAGGAACTTGAGAAAATAACATTCTTCTGTAGCTCCGAACGGTCGTAAGAGGCCAGTGCACACAAGCCACCATACATGGCAACATTGTTCGGTGATAGCAGCTCCGGAAAATCGCAATGATCAAACGAAGCCTGCAGAAAATACTTAGCAGCACTCTTGTAGCGTTTCGTTGCCAGTTCTGCCAAACCTGATAAAAAACAAGAACAAAAGGATAATTATTAGTTTATTACATTGAATCAGAAGAAATGAACACACATCAACTGGGAAAAAAGAAAATGTTTAAGAGACACTTAAAAGGCCCACGTTAACATTGATGAACCATCTTTGATGACTATTATGAAAACTAAGCATCTTTAATGAAAGTTGGGCATTTTTAAGTTCCAGGGCAAGTGTGTTTTAATTATCACAGTTTCAATTGTAAATACAGGTAGAAAAAATTACATACTCTGAAAATAGAATAAACAAAGAGTTTTCAGGTCCATATCACAGCATCATTGTTTAAGTTAAAAACTACATGGCAATCACTAGCAATACATTACATCAAATATGAGTTCAAAGCACAATGAACAGAACTACTGTAAAATGAAGAAGGAGAAAAAATGATTCTACTGATCCGATGCTGCAGTAAATTTTTCACAGAACAAGCTGAGATTTGAAGAATCCCTCGAACTGTTTAAATACCAGCTAAGTTAATAACCCAAGTAGATATTTTAAAATGGAGTTGGACAGATTTAACTAGAATCGGTCTGTCGGTGTAACTTCAGCATAGGGCAACACTGCATGGGGCAGGGGCAAGGAATTTATACAGGTTGTAGTATAGTCTCACTAAAGTAAAATTTCATGAAAAACCAAAAAACTCATTAAAAAGTTTAAAAAAGTATTTCTACAGAGAGAAAAAGCTAATCAAAATCGAACCGATTAAAAGCTAACAGTCGAGTTAACATAGTAAGGTAGAGCCTTAAGCTGACTTAAGCCGATCAGCGAAGGCAGTTTCCTCTGCATGGCTACATCATTAGAATCCGCCAATGTCGTTATAGACTAACCCAATTTTTGGTATTTTCAAAACAGGGATTCCTGCCATTTAGGGTTTAAAAATATCTGAAAAAATTCCTAGAGGCTCCGCTTTACTCCATACTTTTAACAAATAAGTTAAAAAAATGGGTGTCGCTAACTTGTTTGGATGAAGAAATGGAGAGAAAGGAATTTTAGAGCCATATGATTTTTCTTCCTTCCGTAGGTACGTAAAAATGAGAGACATGGTTTTTACCTGCTGCGCATTTCAGCCGTGTAAGAATTGCCTGAGTTCCGTCTTTGCCTTCAGAGAAGTCTGGCGTTGATTCAGCTTTATTTACAAAATTCAGAACATGGGTCCAATTTTGCAGGTAAACACTAACTTTAATGACATTTAAACACATATTAACAACATGCTTGCCACTTGTGCAATAGTCGCGGGCTCTAGAATAACACTTAAGGGCATTGGAGAGGTCACCACAGTCAAGGTAATGATCACCAAGATCGTCATGACCTCGCCTTATCGATTCTTTGATTGAATTACTCTTGTAATTTTTGAGGTCAGAGTCTAACTTTTCTAATTTTAAAGCAGCTTTTTTCGTTTTCTGTTCGATCCATTGAGGATCCAGCGTAGGGATGTCTTGAATATTCACGCTACCACCAGTTACATCTGGAAGAGCTGAGGAACTGAAAAAAAAACAATATTCAAAAATTAGGATAAGATCAAGAGAAAGAGCAAGCAATTAAATTATTTTGGCGTAATTGAAGAGATGGTTGCCGAAACGACCAGAACAGGCACAATTGCACAGGATGTCTATTAAAATATCATTTTGGATGTCCTGATTGTTTAATCCAACAAAATTACACTTGAATAAAATGCTTGAAACACTCAGAATTTTATGATCTATGGCTGATTTGAATAATGTTTCTTAGATTGTTCTTGATGAAGTAATCACATCGGATTTCCTGATATTTTCTGGTTTTTGTCCACAGTAGACCCCTTAATATAAGGGCTGTTTCTGCTCCTTCGATCGCAAACAAATACCACACTCAAGGAGTATTTTCCTCTTAAATATAAATGTGATGAGATGCCATTATAACTAAAACGTTGGATTTGTTTAGCAGGTTGGTAGGCTGATATACATGTGGACATCCAATCTCGTAATCTGACTGTGAGCTCATTTTTTCAAAAATGTTGGCCCTCAGGAGAAATTATTTTAACATTTTTAAATAGCTTTTTAAAATAGTCAAAAAGGCACAGTTTCTGTGACTAGCAGAACTGGCCCATTCCCATTCTTATACATATCTTCTTCCCATTAAAACCAAGTTCAGCTCCATATGTTGCTTTGTTTTTTAATTTGAGTACCAGTCCAGGTCATTTTCCACAAGTAAAAAAATAGAAATGTACCAAAAAAGCTGTTAAGATAGAAATATTGTTGTTCCGTCACCATTAGTCCCATCTTCACATCACGAAGTTCACAAGAAGAGAAAATAATGTCATGAAAATGTATAAAACCCATCAAATTCTTGATCATGTTTTAAGTGAGAATTACTCTCCAGAAATTGCATGCTTTTTACTTCTTTTCTTTAAGGAAATAAAATATGATAGAAAATTTGCAACATTTCTAAGCTAAACAAGTTTTTTGTTTCAGCTCAATTCCAACGGTCCAACTTTTCCTCCAACTTTTCTTCCGTTTTGGTCAAATGAAAAGTTGCATCTTGTAATAATACCCAAGAACACGACAATCAGATGAAGAGTTGAACAGAAACTTGAATCTAGGTAACGTTACCTTTCACTTTCCATTCAACTTTCATGGAATTGAAAGATACTCTAATTATGAAGAAGTTGATATTAAACTTCAGTTGACTTGTGCCAAAGCTGTATTCCTGTGAACTAAAAGCTTGCGGAGGAGATACCTGAATTCTGTTTGGAGATATCACATGGCAACAGCAATTGAATCAAATTTTATTGCATTCAACTTTCCATTCGTTTTTTTTAGGGGAAAAGTCCAACTGAGCAAATTGGGCTTTACTGCCACAATTTATACACTCTACTATTGAGAAAGTTGACTAAATACTTACGCTAAACTGTCTTGTAATTTCTTGTGAAACAATTGATATAAATACACATTATAAGTTCCTTGAACATAATTTATTGCCATTTTTAGAGCTTCCTGGCGCAAGGATGGACAGTGATCAGCGATGTAAAGAAGCCTATACAGTTTTGCTAACCCTGAATAACAGTTGGCATACCACTCTAGATCCTGAAAATAAAAGAGAATTTACTTGATGAACAATTGAATTCCTCACTACCTTCTAAGCTTAGATATAGCGCTCACTTGGCAACTTCTTAAAACATTTATACTTGCATTGACTTTCGCTTTGGATGCAAAAATATTCAACATTCAGTTTAATAACAGTAGATCTGTGACGACACTTGCAATGTTTGAGAGATTGAAATTTGTTACTTTGATTGTTCATAATTAGGCTGACTAAACATAACCTAATGATGGTGAAAATGGTGGAAAACTTCCAAGGAAAAGCGGTATAAAAGCATTAACACATTCGCCTCATTTGACGAGTATACTTGTCAGCGCGCGCATGACATATCTTAGTTGGCGAGTTATTTTGCGGCATCTATCGGCGTTGCTATGCAATTTTTTCGTAGTGTTTTTTCACTTTTCCGATAGATGGCATCTTAAGCATTGCAACGCCGACAAATGGCGCGACTTAACTCGTCAGCTAAGATAATCTCCCAAGCGCTCGCTGACAAGTAAACTTGTCATATTAGGCGAATGGGTTAAACTTCCTCACTCTGGTGACGTATAATAATGTAAAATACGTACCTCGGTCGCGGTGTTTCAAAATCCTTGCTCCTATTTTATTTTTGAAAGGGGGCCGAACCAACATCATTGCTTCAAATTTCTACAGAATATTAATTACTTAGAGAAGAAAAATCACCAAAGTTTTAAAAAAGGACGTTTAGTAGGTATCTGTTCAGAAAATAAAGTATGACAGGATGTCATGCAACGTCGCAAACCGAGATACGCATTTCCGAAATTTCACCCTTGATAATTGTAGACTTATTCATGCAAAATGAGTCTTTGCTGATATGCTCGTTGTGGCACGAACATCCTTGACGATAAATAAAACGATAATAATTTTTAATGAAACGATACTTACAATACTTGGATTCTCGACTATATAGGCAGGTTCCTCTGTATTATCATTGTCTTCTGGAGGTGCATCTACTTGCATTGGTTCGACACTCTGTTAAGAAAAAAAAAAGTTTAGCATAAAAACCTTCTTAGGTACCCGGAACAGAACGACTTTTATTTTTAAGATTGATTTTGCAAGTGCAGATAGCACTCTGAAACTGGATTTAATTGGTTCCTAAAAATGGCACAACTTGGAAGTCCTAGATATAATGCATGACTAGACAGGGTGCGTATTTAGGCATTATGAAACATGTTTCCTCAACAAACTTACACGCAGGCTACGATTTGTGCCACAAAAACGATAGAGGGTAACTCTTGGTTACGATGTAAATTTTTCTCAATGCATGAATTCAAACTTCAAATAGAACAGGATAAATCACCAAAAGTACTCTCTCTGTAAACTTTAGATTGGATATATCAATTGTTCCCTACTTCTAATTTGCCATGGTAGTTCAATTGCCTTGCAATAATTACGTAAGATAAAATCTTAACCAACAGCTCTTTAGTCAAGAGCGTAAAATATACTCTACCTTTGTTACCCTTGCTGATCTAAGGTACATATTACAATCAGCTTTGTGAATGCGGAGATGTATGGGATTAGAGCAGAATGGTACTGCAATATAAGTCTGAGTAAAGAATTTATCCCTATTATGTAGGTAAAATTTGTTACTGCAAAACTAATAGTGTTAATTTAATGGCTTCTATTGGTACAATGATTCAGTTAGGATTTGATCTATTTGATGTCTGGTCATTGCAAACATTATACAGCCGTGCTGAATCCGTGGAAGAACGGAACAATGTGATCTCCCAAGTTTCAGAGACAAAGGAAGATAATGCTGGGTGTCAATCCTTACTGATGTTTCTATCTAATAGAAATAACATGTTTTCCGCTATCGGTTAATAACTAGCTTTCTGCAAAGAAAGAATATTTACTACTTTTTTTTTGGAGTTATAAAGAAGCAATGCTATTTACATGGCTTAGTGAGCAGGACCAAAACACCTTCTTACCTGGTAGAGCGGAGCTAAATTCATTGGCTGAGGCATATGGAAAATTTAAAAAACTGATTATAAAATTTCGCAAAAATTGTAAACTTATTCAGAATAAAAAAGGCAATAAAGAATTCCACAACTACGGAAAATTAGCGAGTCGGTAGGAAGAGCCGTAACAAGAAAATTTTTGAGGTTAAGTTTGGAATAAATAAAACCCTCAGAACTCAGACGGAGTCGACAAGAAACCAACCAATACAAATCGGGCTGCAGCGCCTCCAGCTCGTTGATTGGTCTCTTGATAACTGGCGGGTAAATATGAACTAAATCAATGAAAAGTAAACCAGAATGATTAGGGTCGCCAAAAAATGCCAACAATGTGAAGTTTTAGAAATTTATAATCGCTAATCAAAAGACCCTAGGTTAAACAAACAGGATTAGTAAGAGATAAAATCATTTATTCCGATCTTAAGACATAGTTCTGCTGAGAGAGGTTGTTCTCAAATCACTCCTAGCAACTGCGAGTCACTGAAGTGATATTAAATTTTTACAGAATGAAATTTAATTTCAAATTACCTGGCAGAAAGAATTTCATACTATTTCATGGATTTTGCAGGGGCTAAGAATGCAAATTATGAATATGACAGAACAACCAAAGGATGTGATTTGATAACGAACTCAGAGGCTCGACTCTTAATAAAATTTTTCCAAAATTTCTGGGCTGTACCAACCTTCAAATATTTTTTTGAAATTTCAGGTTGCTAGAATTTCATGAAATTTTTCATTTCCAATAATTAAGTACGACAAAATTTTGCTCATTTTACGACATGCTTTGAAAAATAACATTCTCTCCTTCCTCTAGAAATTTTGCATTTTCCCCTCAATCCGGTTAAAGGAACCATTGAGGTATTTTTCATTGAAATGATACAAGCTGTAGATCATGACTCCAAGTTTATTAAATGGGCTCAATTTACAATTTAAATTTGGATGAGAGGGTTCAGGAGGGAGGGAAGGACCGTGCAGTCACAAAATTATGACATTGCACCTGATCAATTGAAAAGGGTTCAGAATCGTTTTTGGGGATTTCCTTTCTCTCTATTTTGAACTACAATTAGGTTGCCTATGAAGATCAGCTTACATGACACTATTTTGAAAGCTTTAATTTAAATAAAAAAATCACAAATTGGGAAGACATTATTCGTCCTTGAAAATAAGCTCTACAATCTTTTGTGAAATTACCATCACTTCACAAAATATCATCAAACTCTTCCAATGTGTGGCATCCTGTTTCCTACCTACTTTCATTGAAAGCTTTTTTCCCTAATACACTTTAATTTTGGTTGTTATCCAATTAATCTACATTTTTTCCTTAGCGAAACAAAGCAAAAATTAATAAAATGCGACAAATACAAAATCGTCAATTTTTGAAAGTTCATAAGCATTCTAAGAAAATTCTGATAAGCCTATCCATACCAAACATTCTGAAAATTTTTAGACCAAGAGTTTTTACAGGAGTTGGAATTTTTTAAAATTGATTTGTCTTCGTAGGATTAATAAAATTTTAGTTTTTAAAATTTTACAATCTGAATGCATAGAGTTGATTTTAAAATATTCTACAGATGATGAATGACTAATTGACCCTACCCGCCCGGCAAGGGAGCAATGTGTACGTTGCCGCAACGTTGCAAGGCAACATTTTTGATGATATTGCTTTGTAAAGGTAAAGCAGCAACGTTTAAGCAATGTTTCAGCAATTTTGCCTGACATTATATTTTAGACAATATTTTCAAAACGTTTTTAGAAATGTTTCTGGAACATTATTAAAAAACGTTTCAATAAATATTTCTTAGATATATTGTGACAACGTTGTTAAACATTATTAGTCAGGGAGAAACACGATTTGACCCGGAACAAATTGCT